CGGGACTCTTTGGAGTCTCGACTAGGGTCCATGTTCCGAGTCGGTTCCATGGTGGACCTGATGTTGAGGAGTCGGAAGGCGTGGAGTCTCGTCCAGGCGTTCGCCGAATCCGTCTTATTAAAGAAGGAGGAAGTGGAACGCCTGAGACAGAGGCAACCACGCCGCCCTGCACAGGAGGACCTGAGGCGCTGGTTTAGGCCGGTGCCTTAGGTTCTTGTTCTTGCTTTTGTGTTTTTGTTTGTGAGTTATTTTGCCAACCCTCCCTAACGGTTCTCACTATGGAATCCGGTTAACGGGAGGGGACCACACCACGTTGCGAATCAGCTGTTGATTAATTTCGGGCTGATTCGCAACGTGGTGGTGTGAATTATTAAGACGGCGTGGGCCGCCCTGAAGTAATGCCACACGGCAGTTCCAGGGCGGCCCACAATAATGCCGGTCATGGAAAAAAAAAAGGATAAACAATGATGATTCAATCGGCACCGTTTGATTGGTTACATGCATGAAAAAAAATGGATTCGAATTTTTTTCTCGTGATAACGACATTGGTCATATATTTCATTATTCCGATTCAAATAGTCAGAAATATTGTGTTTATTGCACTGACAGTTGTGTCGCTGCAGACTATTTTGGAGATGAAACTTTCAAAGGAGAAAAAACTTTAACTAAAACAGTAAAATCTATTATGAATACTCGCCCGAATTTGAATGCACATCCTATTAATTTGGAGATACCTATTTTGACAAATAATTCAATTTTAGAGGAACTGCTCAGAGAAGATAAATTTGCGCCAACAACGATTATTGAAACTGAAAAAGAACACTATAAAACCTCTATAGAGAAAATTACATTAATAGATAATTCATTGAACTTGGACAAAACATCGTCGAAAAATAATCTTTCAACACGTCTAATAAATAATAATAATTTTTCTATCGTCTAAAATATTGCTAGAAAATAATATTAGAACACATTACACGAACATTTCATTACTGAAGAACGAAATTGAATCTAATAAAAAACTGAACTCAGAAATTGTTATACAAATTGAATAACAGCTCATTAACACATCTAGAGATACTTCCATATTAGCTAATAATTTTTTTAACGCGAACATAACATAATCAAAAAACGATTTTTCAACTCAACCATTTAAAATATTACCGAGAAATATTAAACATCAACTCAAGAAATCAACACTTTAATAAATAATTCTAATAACATTAATAGAAAACCGTCTAAAAAATTAACAGAAATTATTAAAACATCAGAAGCCTTGGAAAAGACTAAAAAGAATAGAACTTTACGACGTGAAAATACTAATAAAAAAGAACCACTATTAGAACTCGTCCTCATGATATTAAAAATCGTTTATGGGATAAGAGGTATTTATTGTTCCCTAAATTCGACCAAGGAATCATGATGTACAATGGTAATAAAATAATTATTTAAGCAAACTTTATTATTTTACCATTAACATTAACATTTATTTTTTCAGAATCATTTTATTTCGTTTGTTCCGAGATCTTAAGTACACATATAGCGTTGAGATGCCTTGGTCTAGACGTCGCTATGGATACGTTTTGTGGTTCTGATGGAGACGTCATCTAATTTGCCAAGAGATACACACAAGTAATCGTTATTGATATCTAAAAAATTAAAATTCGCCATAAGAAACGCAGATTTATGGAATCAGGAACAAAATTACATTTATAAAGGGAGATTTCTTCGAGATTGCAGGAACGTCAAAAAAAAGTCACAGGTCATAGTGATGTCTCCCCATGGAGCGGCCCTTCGTATAAGAAACACGAAATTTACAGTCTTGAAAAACATATATTTAACGACTACGATAGAGGCGATAGAAAACTCTTCGACCTCCTGAAAATTATTGTTCCCAACATAGCACTGCACATACTTATAACTACAAGTCGAAACGAGGTAAATTAATACATCGCATTAAGATATACTCATATTGCATTCAATAACATCCTTCTCTTTTTTGGTCTTCCTCTACCTCATATGCATTATGCCTCTATAATTTCTACACTCCTATATGTCTCTTTTGTCTTTAAATATTGTCACCACAATACTATTTTGGCATTTTCCTTTCTAAAAGAATTTTATTTAAAAGATCCTTCTACAACCTAATGCCAACACTGCCTAATATTTACCATACTTCTAATGACACTTCATCTATTATTTCTACTTTATTCTATTTCATTGATGCCATAGTCTCTCATACTTCTTTCTCCCTAATCAAATCTATCAGTCCGTCTCATTACATGAGATTATCCTTTAATGTATCTCTTGGATACTCCTCATTCAGTAATTTTTCAAAATACTTTTTCATCTTTTTTTTCTCATCATCATTGCTTGTTAGTATCCTCTATCATCACTTTTTATTCACCTTACAGTTTGATAATTTTTAGACTGGTTTGCTCTTACTTTGCACATTTAATACTAATATAATGTCGTAACACAGTAAAGACGGATTAAGGTAAACGAGTGAAAGTGAAACTATGTGTACGAAGATGAATATGAGGAGGTGGTGCCTGCTGTCTAGGTATTCACGTGCGTGTTGTCGTACAGCAGTCACCGTGCTCGACTGACACTCCGGGTTAGCTGTGGGTGTCGAAAGGCTGTTGTTATAGGAAGGGAGAATAAGAGTAACGCCTAGGTATGAGGTGCAGACGAAGTGCAAGACACAAGTACTTTAGTTATTAGGAGAGGATAATGAAGTACGAGGTGCAGACGAAGTGCAAGACACAAGTACTTCAGAGAGAGAACGGGGTAGCCGAGTATAAGGTGCAGACGAAGTGCAAGACACAAGTACTCTGAAATGTCGAGGAAAAGAGTATATAGGTTAGAAAAGGAATAAACAAAGACTTTACTTTAAACAGTAAGCCGGACAGCGACAACCGAGTACTGAGACTGATGAATGACACAAGGCACTGGAGTCGACTGACCACGATGGTCAGGTCTATTGGGTTTTTATAATAATTACACCTATTGCCGATTTGGCAATAAATATTATTTGTTAATTCACCAGTCTCAGGCAGCGGATGTGCTGTCTGTATTTTATTAAAATAATTCTCACGATTATGAAAACGTGACACCATCACAATAATAAATGATATAATACATCATACTAATATAATATAATATACAATTACTGTAAAATTTCTCCGTAACAATTATAATACTAAATTAAATTTATATGATAAGTGTTTATTCATGTATTATACTTATAAATCATAAAACTTGTAACTATAATACAATTAAGGAAATAAGAATTGATTTTTGGAATAATCCATTTTTTTCTTAAAATTAATCAGTATCTACAGATTTGCATCAAAACGATTTTTATGATAGTTATTTTAATCACTGTGCTATTGTTTTTTTAAATAGTAACGAAATGGTTGGTAGATAACAACTTTTGAATCAATAAATCCGAAAATTATTAATATTAAAATATAGATTATAGACGAGGTATGAGTTGATCATTTTATCATTATGCATTTTTCTGTTGCACACCTCGAGGTGTAAAAATGTTCACAACTTTTGAACAACTGGTTCAATAGTAATTATCTTCTAATTTTTAAAACACTAAAATATGTACATTTCCATAAAAAAAAAGTTGATAAACTTATAAAGAACAAGGGGTGAACCTAAAAATAATTTAATTACTTATACATCAAAAAAATAAAAATCCAGCACAGGGGGGTCGCGGCACAGTGGTGACGTGGCATAGATGGATCAAATTTAATGATATCTGACAGTGATTAAAATCACTATCAAAAAAAACGCTTCGATGCAAATCTTTAGATAGTGTTTAATTTTAAAAAATTAGTGGATTATTCCAAAAGCTACATGAACTGCTAGTTCCTTATTAATATCCTGATTAAGATAAAGTATGTCAAATGAAAAAGGGAATATTAAAAAATTTATTTCTCAAAAAAAAATTATGTTGATCCATACACTTTTCAATTAGTTATAGCATAATAATGTTAAAAATGTAAAAAATAAAATCGAGAATTTTCACACAATAATAGCATTCGGTAGCCATTTTCACCGTGAAGATAGAATAAAGTCCGAAATTTTTTTTTTCCATGATAAAGTATATTACATTAGCTTTATTTTAAGATATATATAAAAGTGTCAGACTTTCCGGAACATTTTCAAAAGTCAAGTTGAAAAAATTAATTTTTTGTGAAAAAGTTGTCATTTTAAATCCCCCCCCCCCGTGGGCAGGTAAAAAGTCAGATTTATAAAAAAAATATACCAAATGTTAGGTAAAGACATCATGCATCTATAAAAATAAGAATTATATTGATCCATACATCTTTCAAAAAGTTATGGCAGTTTTAAGTAAAAAAAATTGAAAAAATTTCGAAAATTAGCGATTTTTAAATTTGTAATTTTTTTGGAGGTTTCCCCCATTTACGGAGAACGAGGGATTTTTTTTCAATTTTTGAGGGTAATGTCTTCGACTNTTTTTTTTCAATATTTGAGGGTAATTTCTTCGACTAGATACGATTTGTGATCTTTTGACATATCATTGAAAGAAATCGGTTCGGTGAGAGCTGAGAAAAAGTGGTAACAGACACAAAAAAAATAAATAAACACATCTTAGTAAAACCAATACCTTCTCAGCTTCGCATCGAAGCTAAAAATAACACTGATTAAAAAATAAAAAAAATAATTGTTTTAAAGAAAATTTAATGTATAAATTAATAACTCTGAATATTTTTCATCTATATCTACACACACATATTTAAGTATTGTCATTATTTTTTAAAAACTTAACTATTTCAAACAAACTGAACAAGTTTGCAAAGACATAATAACTAAGTTTTAGTTATTATTTCTATGCAAATATAGAATGTAGTACATATATACTACATTTTACATTTATATAACAGTATACTATTATACAAATATAATACTATTATACAATATTTTTTCAAAATGCATAATTTTTAATTAATATTTTTTTTTTAATTTCAAATTGATATTATAAAATTTTCAAAAATGTATTAACTTAATCAGATTTCTTTAAAAGTACCTAAAGTATGTCCTTTTCATTTTGAAAATTAGATGCCATGTAAGGGGATTAGTAAGGCAAGATGGAGACCTATATAAAGGTCCAGGGTGGTGGATTGAGGTGGCCGACCTCAAGTAGTTGGGAGTAAGTTGAAGAAAAAGAAGAAGATAGAATATTATTACTATTATACATGCATCTTAAGTATAGTTACACATATTTCATAAAAACCTTAAAATTTTTCATAAAAATATATAATAATTGAACAATAACAAAACAAACAATAGAAAATCTGATTGCTAAATATCCAACACTAATAAAAATTGTATAATAACTATTACATTAACAAATAATAAAATAAAATAAAATAAATAATAAGAGTTAAACAATAATGGATGTAAATAATGTATCATAAAAATAATAAAATGGAATGTTTAAACTATAGTTCAATGAAAAAATTAATGATTTTAACTCAAAATTATATATTATATAATTACATAATATAAGTTAGATGTTTTTATTTGTATGAATATAAGACTATTTTAATATCTATAAATAATATAATAAAAGTTCTTTTATTCCTTATTGTCTAAAGGATTAGAAGCAACACCTTCAGCTGTAAGTTTTACATAACCATCAAAACTAACTCGATTGCTATGTTCTAAAATCAAAATTAAAGTTTTATTTAAAAAATGTATATTCATTATTCATTAAACAATTAATTTTTTTTCAAGACATTTTTCCAAAATGTACATCCATGGTTATTATCCAAAAGCCAATATGTCTATTTTAATCATTTTTAAGGAGAACAAAAACAAGTTAAAATTTTCAATGGCATCTTTAACAAATGAATATTGTTAAAAGGACACAATACATACTTTACCAATAAAATAGGTATACCATTTTTTGATAGATAACACTAAGATTTACACATATTATCAATTATCCTATAGTCACACTTTTGTGATTAAAAAAAAAACTGAACTCAGGACTTATCTTTGTGGTGCAAATGGCTACTATAATATAAAATCATACAATTATTTTTTAAATTGTTCCAATTTTTATTTTGAAATTCAACTTTATATTAATACTAAATTTTAATAATTTTATTGAGCAATTCAGATTTTTTTTTAAAGCAACTAAAGTATGTCACTTTTATTTGACGTAATTTCATAATCTAATCCCTTGTAAGATATCAGTTGGGTAGAATTAAGACCTATATAGGCTCTGGGGCAGTATTTGAGATGGGCCTCCCTATGAAAAATATTGCTACCATAATTAAAGTATTATTATAAGTAAGCAAATATATTTTAATTGTCTAATCTTATTCTAGAAGAGTCTAGAATTATGGTAAAAAATACACTAACCTGTAGGTTTCTTTGCAAATTTTTCATTAACACTAGTCGTTTTACTCGTATTATCAAATAAATCATCATCACTTGAATCATCAAACAGAGATTGTGTTTTAGTAAGATTATCTTTAGATTTATTTTTGAATTTTTGATTAAAATCTAAATCATCATCACTATCAAATAAGTTTGATGTGACTTTCTTAGCTTTTCTTGATTTTGAAAAGAAAATATAACTCTCATCATCATCATCATCATCATCTTCATCAAATGAAAATAAAGAGTCACCTTTTTTCTTTTCCGTCATATTTGTTGCTGTGTTTGAACTTATATTACTAACAGTTGATTTTATTTCTATAATTTTATCTTTTTTTTCTGTCATTCCATTTTGGTTAAAAGAGTTATTTGTTTTTAAAGAATTTTCAGTTTCTAAAAATGATGGTATATCTGTATTCATAATTCCTTTTATTATTTTAGTTTTAACATTAATAACTTCTTCTTTTATATTGTCTGATTGTGTTTCTGTAATTATTATTTTGTTTTGAATATTACATTCATCAGTAATACTTATCTCTTTATTAGGCTCAAATATATTATCGTTATTACAACAATCATCAACTAAATACAAGTCTTTAGCTAAATCAATTGTATTTTTTTCAAAATTTGATTCAACTATCTCCTTACTTTTTTCATTTGAGTTATAGATTTTGGTAGTTTTATGTAGATTTTTATTAAAATGAGGTGGCATTAAAGATTCAAATATATCTCCATCATCATCACTTAGAGTATCTAAATCGAATTTTTTTAAAATATTTTCACTTGATTTTATGGAATTTTTCTTAATATTTTCTAGATCAGAACTTGAATTAATATTTACAGAGCCAGATTCTAATACATCACACTTTGGTGTAGCAACAACATTACAATTTTGTTTTAAGTTAGACTCATTATCATTTGATATAACTGATGTCGACTGATCCACAAAATCTGAAGTTAAATCATCCTTATGAGAATTTCCTGGCAAATTAAAATTATTTTCAAATACAATTGATGACATATGAGCAGCAGTTTGTCTTGCTTTACGACTCTGTGGTCTTCGTTTTACTTGTATTTTAACTCTTTCCTAAATTCAAAACATTTAAATCATTCATATCTTATTATATAATAGAATATTAATTATTTTATTAATTTAAGACAAGCAATTTTACTTTTCCAGCACTATATAATTTGGCTTCAGAATTCGGTAAATCATCTAAATTCTCTATAGAATTTTCTGTATCTGATTTTGATAGTTTTGAAGACTGCAATGAATTAGGACTTAAACTTGTAATATTAATAAAAGAACCCATATTTTTGGGTAATTTACCTAAAACAAATAATGTATACAATGTAATATACGATTTTGTTTTATTTTATGTAAATTTTGATTATAAATATATTATATTTAAAAAATAATAATTATACAATTTCTATTATTGATTTATAACCTGATAAAACTAAAAGGTAAGAAATAGATCTCAAATTAAAATTATTAAACAAAAAAATTAATTAATTAATTAATTTTAGATTATTGGAAGAGTTTTGGCCTATTCATACATTGGCTGCAAATAGTTATATTTCTAATTTCCTAAAATAGTTTTACTTTTTTTTTATAATAAAAAAGCCATAAATTTAAATTCATGATTAAATTCATACTACTAGTGGATTAAATTATTTGTTTTAAATTATATTTTATAAAACATTAAGATAAAATATATTCTATAAAAAAAACTCCTTTCAATTTTCTATGAACAACTCTTATTTCAACTTATTTTTAAAAAATATAAAGTTTCACTTCTTTGTTTTGACATAATGTTTATCTAATACCTGGCAACTTTGTTGGTGGTTCATTGCTTAATTTTTGTGAACTAATAATAGCACCATCAAATGAATCATTGGATTCTATCTGCTTCACTTTATTAAATGATAATGTGCTATTCATTTCTGACACTTGATTATTATTTTTACTCTCTACAAAATTTTTTAGTTTAGAGGTAAAAAGTTCTTCATCATCACTGCTTAATATGGATGATAGTTCATTCTGTTTAAACATTTTATTAGTTACAATATTTTGAAAATTGTTTTTTTCTTTTTTATCTGAAGTTAGTTTATTATCACATTCATTTGAATTTTCAATATTGTTACAAGCAAAATTGTTATTTTGAGAGAAATTTTTATCATTAAATTGTTCAAAATTTGATACGGGGCTGAAAAATTCCTCTTCTGAAGAATTTAGATTATCGTTTACTTTTAAATCAATATTTTTACTATTATTTGAATGTTTTAATTTATCAGAAATTTCGACAGATAATACATTTTTATTTTCATTAAAAACTTGATTAGAAATAATAGCAGATCTGGCTAATTTATCCACACTACTATTAAATTGGTCTACAGTTGTTTGATTGAATGTATCTGTACTTTGTACTTCACTACTAATCTTATCATCTAATGATGCCTCTATGATTGATTTTTTTTCATTAGTTGCTATAATTTTCTTATTTTTATTTGATTTACTAATACTAAATAAGTCTTCATCAGATGAAGAATCAAATAATTCAACTTTTGTTTTACTTTTTATAGTAGATAAATTATTAGATACTTTTGAATGTTGATTTTCTACAATTTTTGAAACATTAACTTTTGAGTTTTCAACATTGAATAAATCATCTTCTTCATCAGATGAAAATAAAAATATAGATTTTTTTGTATCTTTAGGCAATGAAAGAATTAAATTCTTTTGTGTATTTTCTTTGATTTTATTATTTAAAAGTGAAGTAGAATTATTATTGTTTGATTTATTTTTATAATAATTTTCTGTAGTTTCTGCTGCAGACTTCAATTTTCTATTTTTTTTGTCTTCTATTTTTCTTAAGTCTTGAATAATTGAAGGCTTTTCATTGAATAAATCATCATTATCGGATAAATATTCAGAAAATTCAATTTTACTTTTGATTTGTTTTGATTTATTAGTTGAATTAGATTCAAATAAGGGTTTTTCGGAGTCATACTCAGAGACTATATCTATCGATTCTGAATCAATATTTGTAGAAACTTCTTTTTTCTTTTTTAAATCTGATTCAACAACAGTTACATTTGATTTACTAGTAAACAGATCTTCATCTTCAGATTCAGGATCAAAAAATGATTTCTTTTTGTTAGAATTTTTTTCCTTATGTACAGAAATACCAACATCAGATGTAATGATTTGTATTGACTGATCAGATGATGATGAAACAATTGTTTTTTTGTTGTTGACTGTTTGATTTATATTATAAAATTCATTTTGGTTCTCATTTGGCAACCTTAAAAATAAAAAAACACCATAATATCTATGTTTTTATCTTAAGTAAAAATATTATAACTATAATAAATATATAAGAATATTTAGCGTATATTGCATATAAGCATCAGGTATAAATAAAACCAACTATTTGATGTTGTTTAATATGTGAGATAGGCACGATGCTACTTTTTAAATGATGTATTATACTAGCAAAAACTATAATTTAATATTATTTTAGTTATTGTAGTAGGTAGAAGAGAATTATTAAGTATATTAGCTACTGTATATTATAACAAAGTAAATCCAACATAAAATTCCTTAGAAAACAAAACCAAAAAATTTTATAAACTCATAATACTTTTAATACTCTTACTCAATATTAGGAGTTTGTTTATAAGCTTGATTTAAACTTTTATTAAAAGATCCTCCTAATACATTTACAGCTCCCTTAGGTAACTAAAAATAAAATATTTTATTACATAGATTTTATAGATCATGATACAAAATGAAAATGAACATTTACTTTAATTTTAAGAGAGGGTTCATCTGGTTGAATTTTTACATTATTCATATTATCAGCTGATAAGATATCTAAAAAAATTAACATCATTTATTTTAAATATGTTTATAAAAATATTAAACTTAATAAATTATTTAGTTCTCTAGTTATTAGAGTTGTTATTTGGAAGATATGTAAACTATAAACTTTTAATTTTTTTTTTACTCAAAAATTCAAAGAACTCATTTCAAGGGAGAGTTAAAATATGAAAACAATATTGTTAGCAATCAAAATTATTAAATCCACCTGAAATTTGTATGAAATACGCCAGTAGTTATTATATTAATAAATGTAAAGTTGTGTATGTGAAGGATTTTATTGAAAAATTATTTACAGAATTAAGATATAATATTTGATTGTAATTAGTATTTAAAAATAAATGTTTAATAAGTGTTATATCAATGGAAATTAAGAAAGTACATAAAATAATTAGTATTCTAGAAAGATTTGAAAGTGTTTAGATGACACTTTTGTCATTTAATCCTTCAAGTATTAATTTAGTAGTAGTAGCTATTATAATAGTTATTGCAGTAATGAAGTACTACATAAAATGTTTCACCCTTATGGAATCGTTTGCGAAGTTCATCATTCAATGATTGTTGAACATCAGATATCAAATGATTTTCATCTTTAACTGGCTGAATAAATTTATCAGTAAAATTATCTGTGCAAACAGGTAATGGAGGTTCGTGAGATAATTCACTTTCGTTGTCATCCCATAAATTTTGATCTCCATACATGTCACTTTTAGAATATTGACCAAATATATTATAATCGTTGTCATCTTCATCTTCATTATCATTTAATGGAGGTGGACTAAATACATCTAAAAAATAAGTAAAACATTTAACTTAAATTTAAAAATGATGGACATCCTTAAAACGTTACCATAACCTATAAAACAGATTTCACACTCAGAATTGATTATCATTTGAAAAAAATATTATAGAAATTCAGTTTTCAAACAAAACCCTTTTTACATTCCAATTGGCTAATGTAACAGACAAGGACAGAAAAACTATGACGTACAATGGACATATACTAACTAACGTTTTTTCATTATTATTGATATATAAAGCTAAAATAAGAATAATCTATAGTATGAATTTATAATATCTATTTTGTTTATATAGTAAAATAGATTTTTTAAAATTCTAACCATTTGGTAGAATACATTTTAAGAAAATATTTAGTAACAAAATCTAGTAATGTTTTGTATATATTTTATAGTATAAAACAACAATAATTTTACGAAGAAAAGAATATAAGTATATGAAATTTCTTAATGTTAAATACTGGTTTTCGGCTTTAATTTTTTCAATGAAAAATATCATTTTTTTATCAAAAGTAAAAAAAAAATTATTGACAAAGCATCAAACTTATCATAAGTTATTGATCTAGTTTATTATCTATATTTGTAAACGCATTAATAAAAAGTATTTGGTGTTGAACATTCATTATTTATAACAACTTAAATCTTATTATAATTTAAGAGAATATATAATATGACAAGTTACAACTTGTAGCGTTTAAATGTACTTCATAAAAAAGATTGTTTTTGTATTATGGCCTAATTTTTTTCAATGTAATTTAACTTATTAAGTGATTTTTTTAATAAATTTTAAACCTTAGAGTTTTTAATAAATTTATTCATAAGAGTGAATGAGATATGATTTAAGTAGTTTTCATAGTTTAATTTGATGCATATTATTTTATTTTAATAACATCTATTATACTTTAGCGTTAAAGTATTTATTTTGGTCACACCTTACAGAACATAACAAAATATTTACTTATTTATGTATAATTAAGTTTATATCAATTAGCAATTTATTTGGTAAAGAAAATCATGCACATTTACTCTAACTTTGGCTTCGATAATTATAAACTTTTAATCCAACAATATTAATTATAAAGCTATTACAAACATATTAGATGACTAATTTCAATTTAATTTAATAAATAACCAAATAGATATTAAATAATAATTTTTTCAACAAACCTTCAATTATACTTCTTGACTCTGGAGTAGATTTTAATATTTGGGGCTCACTATTTTGACTATTTACTTCTATTTGTGAATTACATTTCATTTGATTATTTTCATCCATAAACATTAGTGTATCACTTTTAGTTTCAATTACTTCATTACTGGATAATGATTCCTTTGTAATAAATAAATTATGTAAAAGTAAATATCATCATACTTTTTTTAATACATAATAGAAATAGGTGGCATAACTTATATGCGCAGAAAAGTAATTTGCTTTCTTAACTTTTTTCAGTTTAAAATATAAAGTCTACCATATTTTATTTTTCAAATACAAAATAATTGTTTAACCAAATAGTATCTTTGAATATATAAAACAAAAAAATTTTTTTTCAGAAATTTGTAATATCTTACTCTATAATTTTCAAAAAAAAACTTTAGTCTTAATCAATTTTCAACATGAAAATCTTTCAAAATTTTTGCTGAAAATAACAGGTAAAAAAGTAAGCTTAATTTAATTAAGTTAAATTAATATTAAACTTATTTTATATGTTAAATAAGCATAAATATTAATTTAAAAATATAATTTGTAAATAACTAAGTACAAAAATAGAACATAATCGATCAATTAAAAGCATGACCAGAATAAAGAAAAGAAGTTGAAATCCATCCTTATAACCGAAATAATAACTAGTGTTTGAGACTATATGCATGTATAAAGTTTATTTTAGTCATCCCAAAAACATCAATGATGATTAGATTTTTTTTGTTTTTATTAATCCTAATCGATGTATTAACTAGGATTTTAATTTTGGGGTGGGGAAGGGATCACTCTTTCTCTAGAACAAAAAAACTTCATGTGATACTGTACATATCAATAATACATTTTCATTGATTGTCTTATAGGATTCCAAACAAATTTCATAAATACATTAAGTCCCTATCCCTAATCAAAATTATAGATGAAATTAGAGTTTAAATCAAATTTCTTATGCACAATCTTCATAAAAAATGTTGAGCACTATGATATGTTATTATGATAACCCTTTATGTTTTATTTGCTAATTTCAACAATATTATATTTTGGGATTTGATGTTTTTAAGTTATTCTTGTTATCAGAATACCCTAAAAGAATAGAATATTCTAATAATTTGATAACTTTAAAACTTAATATTTAGCGGTTTGAAAGCCAATCGAATTATTTATTTGTGATACATATTAATGTATTTAAATTTTTTAAAATCATTCTCCTGAAAAATTTAGTTTTTTAATATTGTTAAAAGGAGTAAATGATTTGTCTTACACATACCTCTTTTTCAAATGATTTTGATTTTTTAATATCATAATCAGAATCTGAAGACATGTCATTAACCTCTTCCACTTCAGATTGTAAGATTCCAGTAAAAGTAGGTAGTTGCAATTTTTTATAAAATTTACGTGGTCTTAAAATGGTTTCTTCATGTCTAAATATTTAATATAAATTTTGATAGTAAATATTATAGTTTTATTCCAAATATGTAATATAAATAGAAAACAAACTTTAAATCGTCATCATCAGAATCACTAACAACAATAGTGACTTTTTCAAAATGAGTTTTAATCACATTAAAACTATTTTTTAAAGTAGTTTTTAGGTTTTCAACCAATTTTTCATCATCACTATTCTCTTGTATAACAGTTTTTGTTTTCTTGTAATAATTAAACAACATTTTAATAAAATTAGTTTCAAAATAAAATTTAAAATTTTACTACATACCTCTGATGTTATTTGTACAGTTTCATCTTCTTCTTGAACTTTGTTTTCAATAAATTGTTTTTCAGCTAACAGCTGAAACTCATTGTTAATATTTGCTATTTTAATTGCTGTATTATCAGCATAATCAACCAAATCATCTATTTCATTTAATGTATTTTTTGCACCTTGAGCTATTTTCTTTAAATTAATTAAACGAAAAATATTTTAAGCATAAATGATAAATAACTAAAATGCAAATTGAATAGATATTAATACTTCACATGGAGTTCTATTACAATATGATAAAATTAATTCAGAAAAAAGGATGGATTTTATACAAAATTTTATCAATAATAAAATAGGTAATTATATAATATATTTGGAAAAATTTCAATTTTACTTTTTTATACTTTCAACTCAAACATAAAAATAATCATAACAACTAATTCATGACTGATTAAATTTTATTTTAAGACACCATGTTTTAATATTAACACTTAAAAATAAATATAAATTAAAGTGATTTTCATTTTATTACATTTGATAATTGCTCAAGGTATTTAACTAATCGAACTTCATCATTCTGACTCCAATTAGTTCGCTTTTCAATAAAATCACCAAGTGTCCAAAAATGTGTTTCAATAGACTGAACATTATCCTTAGATGCATAAAAAGACTTACAATAATTTAAAGTTTGAATAATAATAGTGCAATTAAGTATAAACACATTTATTATAAAATAAATACTTACATCCATTTAATTATATTTAATAATTTCTTTTACTAAATTAAGCAATATTATTTATATTTATAGTGGTATTGTCTTGAATAACTTTCTAAATATTATTTTTTAAACATTTTAATAAATTACACTTGATAAAAAATATTCAATTAAAAAAAAATTAACAAAGCAGAATACAATAATAAATAAATAGTATCAAACTTAATAATTTAATAATTATTAACAAAAGATATGGAAATTATCAATCACTATCAAATAATTCACATTACATAAAATGTGATAACACGCAGATCACGTGCGTTCAAAATAAATATTGTTATTAGTGAATCACCAATATTTTCCGATTATCAACAATTTATTATTGATTAAATAACATAAATGTAGATTTTTTAAAAGTTTTAAAGTTTTTAAAAATTTTTCATTTAATTAATAATTTATTCATCAAATTATAAATTCATTATTGTTGTTGTTGTTTATCTATAACTTAAAATAATTATACACAATATTTTTACTATAGATTACAGCCCTGACATTACTTGTGATTTCTGTTAATTTCTCGTACTAGTTTTCGATAGTATTTCGGGAGTTAGTAACATTTTTAAATGTGGATTAGAAATAAGGTGTGGCTAATGTTATTTTTATCATTACACATTAACCTGACACCCTACTACTCTCACCCAGGTAAAAAAATATTCATAACTCCTAATACAAAAGTTTTTATCGACTGATCATTGTTTTAGTTGTGTTGTAAATTAGGTTTTTAAGCATAGCTTTTGTGTAGTTTAACATTGTATAAAGTGTTTGACAAAAAAGAATTATGGTTCTTCTAGAACATTTGATGCTTGTTTAGTTTTTTCATTACATGGGACTATGGGCATTGCCTACCTAGGTAGTCAGTGAGTTTGGTTTATATTAATCACTGTTTGTTTACATGTTACATAAATTTAATGAAATTGTGTATTTAAACGCTGAATAATTTTAACTCATTTAATGTATCACCTCAGACACAACAGTTGGATCATTTTTCTATATAAATTAGTTAAATATATGTTGTCGTTTAATAAATGACCATGGAACCCTTACTAAAAACAAGAAATTGACATAAAAAGTATTTAACCACTTAAAAATGGAAAATTAAAGACTACTTAGGTATACCAAAAGTAAAAACCTCAAAAATTTATTATTTAAAACAAAAGTTTAGTAATTTATTACGATAAATCAATCATTACTTTACAATCTTCAAGAATTAGTATTTTAACTAAGGTTAAATAAACCCTACCAATTTTTATTGACATTTATTATTTTATTATATGTGATTTCACATCATTTTATTGTTATATCAACTATAACCTATCCAAACCATACATTTATTTGATAATTTACATAAGGCCATGTTCCCATGACTAGTATACTTGCTAAGCTATCGGAACAGTTTACATTAACAATTATTGGTCACTTGTCAATTTCCCACAGATTGTTGATAAATGTAACACAAATCAAAGGAATTAATGACTTGACAAATTCACACTAGTACTCTAATATAAACTTTTGTAATTGACCAATATTTGATTTTAGAGTGGCTATCAGTAACATATTTTTTCTTTCCCATACACCAATTTTTTAAAGTATAATAGAGGTTTAAATAAGCTTAATTAGTTAATTTAATTTAATGAATGAGATTCTCTCTATTAAAAACATTTCTACCAATATTCCTGTACTGATAAATATTTTATCATAAAATACCAATTATACTGAATAACTACTGATTTGTAGCACCTCCTTATTAATTTCTAAAATACTGGTTTAAAAATTGTTATTGACTAGTTATTTTCTTGATTATATTATAATCTAATGAGTAAGTTAGTTAATTGAGATTGTTCTTATTTAAAAAAATTATGATGAACGCTTATAAGACAAGCGATGAATTAAACATTGCATTATTGATAAATTGAAACAATATATAAGTAACATAAAACAAAATAAAATTTTTATTTTTATTTTTATATTTTGGTTAATGAAATGCTTTCTGATAACCCTGTATGCTGAAACACATAAATGAAAGTTTAATTTTCGGGTAATTACTATTGCCCATTAGTTTATAGATTTATCTTTTAGAGTCTAACTATTAATTAGTACTTTTAACAAAAAATCATCAAAAAGGAAAATTATGAGTAATAAAACAAAAACAAAAAAAAAAAATGAATATATTTTTATATAGAAATAATACACATCTAAATTTTCTCTTTAGTCTTGAGTTATCAGTTTTTATATTAATAATTATTGAATTAATTGATTAAATAAGGTTATCAAGAACACCTATAAAATATATTATGTAGGATTATTTTGTAATAATTGAAAAGTATTTTTCATGATTAAAAGTTAAAATGAAACTTAAGAACGGAATAATTATAAAGTTTTAAAATACATTAACCAAAATACATGTAAAAAAATGAACAGAAACATATGAGACAAAATGTAAAACATCATATTTTGTGATACTAATAATTATCCCTGATATAAACATTTCAAAGCTTATTCAACTATCTTTAGATAATTATCATATATTGGTTAAGAATTAACATATTTTACAAAAGGATAAAAAAAAAATTTTGTAAAGTAAATGTAAAAAAAATATCCAAAATCTTAACAAATAATAAATAAATTTTAAAATTTAATATTTCAGTAATATAACATAAATAATACAACAAAAATTTATAAATTCATAGTTTAAAAGCATGATAATAATTAAAACTAAAGCGTTTTTTATAAAACAATAATGGGTGCACTAATCGACTAGAAAATATAAGACACAATGTTAAAAGCAATAAAAGTAAATTTTAATTGTTCTGATAATTTTGATCTTTTTTTTTATGAATAAATTATAAAAAAAAAAAAAAAACTATTAAAACGGAATGTTTTCTTGACAAACAAAATTTTTAAGGATTATAATTGGTAACGTTAATTAAATGGCAATAAATTAACTAACAGTGTATTATATTATTTATCACTAAAACATAATAAACTGTTATGGCAACTAATATTTTTCATATAAATACACTATAAATTTGATATAAATAAATTTAACAATGTTTACATAAAAAATATATATAAATATAAAATATATAAGCTCAATAATCACATCATGGTACAAACTTTTTTTAAATCAGAATCAAAATCCTGATCTAGGTCTTTAATATCAACTGGATTCCGGCCTGATACGTTAGGCATATATTGATCCTGACAAAGGCCTTCACGTTCATAAAATAACATATAAGCACCACTAGTGTCCATTTCACTTGTAACCTCCTAAAATAAATTTTAATAACATTAAAAAATAAAAAACTATCATTCTCTAAAAAACTAAATATTTAAAAAAAACTTACTTTACAGCTGCTGTCATTATAACAATACCATTTTCCATTTGGATTACATGCGTAAGATACATAATGACCTCCTCCAAGAATTCCTGAATGACACTTGAAAAAAATAATTAAAATTAAAAATAGATCTAATCATTAGATTAAAAAAATTAAATTCAATAAAAATGCAACATTTTTAAAATAATATTTAGTTATAAAGTTTTTTACCAAGACAGTGTTAAAACCATGAAATAAGATTTTTGTATGATTTTAGTGAACATTTAATAATATTAAAAATAATAATATATATATATATGCATTTACAATTACCCCTTTTCACCCTTTTAATATATGTTAGAAATTTAGAATATTTCCAGAACATTTTCATAATTTAATAAATTAACATGCTATGTAAATGACACCATTTTAAATCCCCTTTTTATGGGCAAATAAAGGATCAAATTTGAAAAAAATTATATACCAAAGGAATGAAAAATACCTAGGGTATTTATATGACAAAAAAAATATAAATAGTTCACTTTTAAATGAAGAAATCAAAATTTATAATTTTTAAATGTGGGTAATGCCTTCAACTAGATACACTTGTGATCTTTTGACGTATCATTAAAAAAATTGGTCCAGTGAGAGGGGCTAAGGAAAAGTAGTGCGAGACAAAAAAATAATATATATACATATTGTAGTAAAATTAAAACTTTCTCAGCTTTGCATCAAAACTAAAAAAATATTACAACAAGAATCATTTACCATTTTTTAAAATAATAATTTACTGTAGTAAAAACATCAAAAATAATTTTTTATATCATATTTTAAAATGCTGATCTATTTATAAAACACACAATTTCAGAATTTAATAATAAATTGTTACCAACTTACCACAACAGCATATAATTTATACTTCAAGTCTAATGGATTGAAATTACAAATTAATTTATGTTGATGAAAATCTTGTAGAGCAGTATCATCAATAGGTGTGCGTATAAGAGATGTAGATTCCAATCTCTTTCTGTGTGCTTTTTCTACCTCTATAGTTGGTGAACCATTAGAATTTATACAAAAATCTATCAAAAAATATTATTTCATCATAAATACAGAAAACTTATTATAATTAAAATACTTTTCTTTTGATTAAAAACATGGACTATAATATATTTTTAAAATTATAATTTTATTTTTTTATATAAAATGATTGATTAATTAACCATTCAATCTTTATGGATAATTTTAGTACTGTAGCCATATTAAGCATATTTAAGATTGTCATTAATATTTGTAGTATTTTCATTCTAGTTTTTTTTTGGAAATTAACTTAAAAATATTATGGATAATTCCATAAAGTAAGAAAAAACAGTTTATAACAAAAGAACCAAAATATTAAACATTATAACAAAAACAAATATAACCCTTTAAAAGAAAAAATAATTTCATTTGATTTTACTATTATTTGTCGTTAGAATAAAATATTAAAAAAAAATTATTTTTATCTTATGAATATTATATCTACTTAGTATAAATGAATAATTCCTCTTTTTCTTGATTCTAATTTTTTATTTGTATTTTTAGAAAAAAAAATGATATCCTTGCACACTTATAAGTGGGCTTGTAGCATAGTTCAGATATATATCGAGCTTCTAGAATTATTGAATACGTCAACCAAAATTGAAATTCTTGGTTTATTATTCTATTTCAACTAATAAAATATGTTTTAATGTGAAAATGGTGAATCATTAATTATATGAAAAAGTATATTATTTTAAGAAAAAATGAAATTTTTTCATTAGCTTAAAAGATATATGAAAATTTAAATTAACTCTCCTGAAAAGTAATAAATTGGTTGAAATGCTTCTTTAATACTATGCCCTTGATATAATATCTAGCAATGATTCACCATCATTATCATGAAAAAAAAACTGTGATGCAAATAAGTTAAATTTTACTCAAATATTAAATGATTGTTAAATTATTTGCTTAATTGAAAATTTAGTATTTAATTAATTGCAATTTTTTTTAAATATTGTAGTACGTTTTAAGAGTTTTATTTCAATATAGGTCGAAATTTCAGAACCTTTATAAAAAATGAGTTGCAAAAAAAATTGTTGTGCGTGACTATTCACTTTTAAACACTTCTTGTATTTAAGTTTTTCATTGAATTTTTAACAAAAACATACCAAAAGAGAAAAAATTGTCTCTAAAAGCATATCAAAGGAATGCTAATTGTCACTTTTATATTATTTTTTAAATTTCATTTGGATCAGCATTTTAAAAAAAATTTATAGTAGTTTTTAAATGCAGTTTAAAATTTTTTATAAAATACTATTTTTTTACGGTGTTAATATTTTGAGATTATCTACTAAATTTCTAAATTTGAAATGGTGGTTTTTGTAATTGTCTATTTTTATGATCATGCCATTTTGAAATAGTATTATCATTTGTATAATAATCATAAAAAAATTATAATAGTTTTATTTTACCTGTATTTGTTGATGATGAATATATTAAATCTTCTTCGTCCATAGTCAAAAATTTATCCCTAATAAATTATATAACTTTTATATCTAACTATTATGGCAAAAGCACAGAATTTTTTAATTAACTTTGAATAAGAATTTACTAACTTTGTTTTATCTGATATATTTCGAAGTTCTCTATTTCTTAAAACTGTATGTTTTGGAACTGAAGCTAAATAATCAGTTGGATCAAAATTTTTAAATGGAAATTTCACAACTTTATGAGACTTCACCCATTTTCCTTGTAAATATTGGAATCTTTTAAGATGGACAATCTAAAATTATAAAAAATTTTATTTTATTATTCAATATTATTTTTATCATACACATTTTTTCTACTGTAGCCAATCGTATCATACTATAACTTCATTACCGAAAAAGTTTACAATTAATACTATTTAAGACCTAATACATGAAGAAACAAGGGTTGGTTCTAATATTTTTTTGTAATTACAATTGAAAAGTAAAAAAAATATTCAAGGTTTAAAATAAATTTTATTTTTAGCATATGTTTATCATTGATTTAAGTCCATAAGTTTTTAATAATTTTTGTGTCTTTAGAGTTTAATATTTTTTTTTGTTTTATGAAAAAAATATGATGTAGGTTTTAAAAGGGAAATATATCTTTTTGTTTGTATGTGACAAACTAACATCTGTTCTAATTACAAGGAAGAGGAATAATTTATCATTTTTTGTTATATAGAAATATCCATCATATTTTAATAAATAAAATTTGAATTTATTAATTTATTTCCAAAAAGACACAAATATATATCAGATATATTAAACAATTTTTTAACAGCTTACTAAAATTGGTGGTAACCTCCAAATTTCAAGTTTTTTGGAAGCTAATTGATGTTTTTGACATGCTGAACAATAATATTTTTCAGCTTCGCTAAGATGTTCTTCTTTTGTAAATGCAGCTAGACATGATTCTAAACTAATGGGTTCTGTATGTGAACTTAAAGATTCTCCAACACATTCATGTTCCTTATGATAGTTGTGATAAATTATTATAAAACATATAACAGTTAAGTAATTATAATTATAAACACATACAGATTCTTGAGATGTTTGATATCGTAAATGTAAAGCTGTTGGATCCCAATCAATTGCTATATGATTGGCAGAAAAGTTATAATCTGTATCACAACATAAAATTGTACATCCTCGACAAAATCTATACCATGGACACCATGCACACATTGTTCCTTCTCTATTTACTGCTTTCAAAACAAATGGAAATTCATAACCTAAGCTATCATCACTGAACAAAAAATATAATTTTATTTACAGAATTAATCATATTTATTTTAAATAGTTACCAGTCCATGGCATGGTTAGGCACAGTTGATTCTGATGGAGGTAATGGTGATACTAATCTAGCTACTTGAAGCCAAACAGCTTGATAAAGATCTTGATTTGATGTAGTTTCATTGCACGGTAATATTATGGGCAAACCAAATATATTGGGCTTGCTTTTATGAGCTGATATAAAATAAACATCTTGTCTTATCTATAATTTATGCACATCGTTTAATCAGTACAAAAATTAAATAATAATGCACATAGAATAATAGAAAGCAAAATAAATTCAATATTTCATAAGTTTAAATTAATTAATTATACCATTTTTCTATGCAGTGCAATGACATAGTTTGGTGTTTGGTGAATAGCATCACCACTATCTGTTAAACTAAAACTGCTAGTACTACCGTTTCCACTATCTGCCATAACAATGTTATTTTCTTCCAAATTTACATCAGTATCAATATGAGTTCCACCAACACTCTTTAATAAAATAAAAAACCATATAAAATAATAAAATAATTGTTTTTTATAAGTTTCTATGAATTAGAAAATAAGATATTACATCTATATTTTCATTTAATGATGTTTCTTCATTTATACTGATAGTTCGATTTCCATTTAATTGTACTGAAAAATTGTATAAAATATATTTAATACAGTATAAAAAATGTAGCTTTAAAGATTAAATATCTTACTATTACTACCACCAGGTCTAACAGTTCTTTGAATAGTAGTAAATGTTTGGGCTGCTTCTCTTTGTGTTCCGGATCTAGTTGATCCAATAGACAAACGTTCTTCATCTCCAGACATTTCTGAACCGGGTCCAACAGATGTAGGAGGTGGTAATTCATACGCATACAATAAGCTTCCAGGCTTTACTTTTTGTTCATCACTAATAATATTCTAAAAGTTAAAACATATTCATTAAGTATATATTTAAATTTTGTTAAAATACTTCAAAAGTGCTAGTATTTTTTTTAGTTTTTAGAAAAATTAGTTTTTATGTTTTATTTAAAAAATTAAAAAAAAATAAAATAATTATTTAACTTCATTCTGTCACCACTGTTTTGGGGCATGATACTCTATCTCTAGATAGGCTCAAGTCAGTTACTGGAACCAACAGATGTAAGTGGTAACTACATTTTTTATAAATAGATATATACACGATTTTTAGTTTTTTTTTCTTGTCAACTTCAATGAGCATTAATAAATAAAACCCACTCTATGTAATAATATAAAAAATGATGGTTTAAAAGTGTTCCCCTATCAGTTATTTTCTAAATAAAACCATTAAATAACATGACAACTAAGAAATAATGAGTTAAAAAAAAGGTTGATAACCTTGATAGAGGCATAAAAAGTGGATCTAAACATTGCATAATAATTAGTAAATAAAAATAAATATATAAATAAGAAAAAACAGAAAATAAAATAACAACTACCTTTCCCAGAATATAAAAATCTATAGAAATTTAACGGCTGAATTAAAATAAGAGTTTGTTGTGCTAAAACTTTTTTTAAAACTAAGTTATAAGAGTTGTCTGTTAGATCTGTTCCACTTTGAACACATATTTTTTTAAATGGACATGGCCTGCACTACTATACATTTATTTTATACATTATGACAAAGTTCACATAAACCAACACTGACTAGGTATTCTAAGAACAAGGGTATTTTAATGTAAATATGGAAAAAAAATTTTTGGCAAAATAAAATATGTTGATTAAAAAGTTATAGAAGCATTAATTTTGCATAAAGATGATTAAATAGGTCAGCGCTGCTCTAAGTTCAAGTAAGCAAAAAAAAATTATACTAAATTTTAATTTTTTTTAAATAATAATAGGAGCTATTTTTTTTTAATTTCAACTATAATTAAGCATATGGAACCTAACAATTAATTAAGTAAATATCACTGATTAAGCCCATAAATGTGTTAAGTGCACTCAATAAATTAAATAAGTTAAATTATTAGATGTACAAATTAAATTAAGTACACTCTTATATAGAAATTCTACAAAATTCTGGTATTTAATTTGCTTGCATTTACACTTGTATTTTACATATTTGTTAACATAAATAAAAAATTAACATTAAATATCAAATATTATTTTCAAAAATGTACAATAATTTTATTTAATACATTTTTTTGCTCAACCATTGTTATACTTAAAGGAAATTCTATCCAAATTAACAATTAAAAAATATTTTTCAATTCATATAATTTTATGTATGTAATTTTGAACATTAAGAAAATTACATAAAATGTTTAATAATAAATAAAACTATATCATTAAAATTACTAACCTTGATTTGGGCTCCAATTATCTCAACAAGTTTAAGGTTATTGAATGGTATCCCACTTAATGAAGAAAGTTTAGATTTAACTACTAAATATTTATCATCAGTATTAATTCTTAAGCCATATTTTACAGGAACGGTTCCATCTAATTTGATAACTAATGTACAAATAATAATTATTAAGCAATAAAAATATAAAAATTGAATCAAATTTTTTAATTATATTCTTTATAATTTTAAATTACAAAATATATATATTTTTTTTTTGACAACTAGTAAATACAATATATTTACCAATAGCTTGTAGGCATATATATGATTCCATTGGTAATGGTAATGAAAGATAATTGAATGGATCAAATCTAACAGATTCATGACCACATTCTTTACATGTTACTTTAGACTTAAGCTGGCCATGAAATAAATCAACAACAATAGATTTATTTCTAACTATATGATTTTCCCAGGCCTGAAAAAAAAATGATTATTAAACAAGTAACTTTGCAGCTAAATTTTACTTTGAATGTATAGGAAGTAAAATAATTAAAAAATTATTTTTAGTTAAATTGTTATGAGTTTAAACCTTGTAAATTGAAAAAATAAATATAATAATATTATTTTCCCTTTACATTTTTAATATAACATAAATATAATTTGTATTACTGTGAGTTTACAAAAGGGGATGACAAAATGAAATTCTTAAATTCTTAAAAATGATTTATATGTACTATACGCTAAAAAAAATTTTTTTCATCAAATTTACCATAATCATTCTTTATTTACAATATGAAATTTAATTAATTATAATTTAAAGATAATAATATAACATACAATTAGGTCAATATATATATATCTAGACTAAAATAAAGAGTGAAAATGTCAAATATTCTAAATTGAGCCAAAAATAATCAAAATTGTTATGCCTGATAAATGTTCTATATATTTATAGCTTTAATATATTTAAATAATATAATATATAATTATATAATATATTGAATTCTCCAACAACAGTTTAATTTTACACAAACCTCTTCAGCTACAGTTACATCTGGACGACCTTCACTATCTGTCAATTCAGAGTATGGTTTTCCATGAACTCTATTCAAATCTTCATGTAAACCATCTAATAAAAATGCTAATAATTCTTGAGAATCATGCTGTTGAAAACCATTAAAACGTGGTGCATACTTTCCTATGGTCCACTATACATAAAAAGTATAAAATTTTAAGTATTATTATGAATAATTAAAAGAATAAAATTATCCTTTCAACAATGTAAAAATTAAAACAAGACACTGAATGTAATTAAACATAACTGAAACATAAATAAACTACATCATTTGATTATACAATTTTTGGGATAATGAAAAATAAAAAGTAAATAATGTTTTACTCTTAATTTTAATGGTGCAATAGTCTTAGCAGTTCCTCTCCATATTTCATGAATTAAGTCACCATAACGTTTTGCTATGCATCCTTTCATGCCTAAAGGATTATTTCTAAAATAAAAATAAATAATAAGAATATGTAGACCAAAAAAGAAATTATGTAAATTGATTTAGATACTTAGAATGCAAGAAGAATAAATGACATTTTTTTAAAATCTAATAATCCAACACATAAATTTTTATTTATTAATTTTTTTCATTGTAAAAGTTAAATAAAAAAAAAAAAATTTAATTTTCTTTCAGACAGACTTATACACTAAATAAAATAAACATTTTTCAGACTAATTATAAATCTTACTAAATAATTTATTATTTATCATTTATAATAAAAATAGCTTCTTACACCCTTTGCATTATAAGCAATCTAATTCATACCGGTTGAGTTCATAAAGATGCATATCAGTTATAAAATACTGAGTTAAAAGTCTGGTATTGCTAACACATTGTAAAGCAGCATTCATAAAACAAGTATTACCCAAATTATTTAAACCAGTAGCTCCTTTTTCTGCTGGTACTGAAAATATAAACAATTTTGTTTTAATTCTATCTACCATAAAGTTAAGTGAACAGAAATACTGAATAATAAAATTACCATAAATACAAATTATCCATATTTAATTATTTTCATTACTTACATTGTTTGCATTTATCACTAGAATTAACTGAAATGGAACTTATTTCTTCAGGCCAAGTAAGGTCTTTATTTCTTATTTCAATAATTATTTGGTCATCATCACAAACTCCTAAATCTTCTAATGTTTGCTCTTCATCTTCAATTAAAACCATATTATTCTATAATAAAAAGTGTTACTTAAATTAATTACCTGGACACAGCATCTTAAAACTATACATAAATTTTATGAAAAAAATTCAAACCTCATCATGAAAATGCCAAAGTCTCATATCTTCTGGTTTTAATTTCAGTCTTATACAAAGAAAATTGTAAACATGTTTTACAGTAGCTAACTTACTAAATGATGCTGTATATGCAAGATAACGTCGAGGCATTGAATTTACTAAGTTTGAAACATAGTTATACCCAGTTGAATCTTAAATAAATAAAATTATTTATCAATAAAAAAAAATTGTTTTCAAAAAATTATTAATTTAGACAGAACCACTGGTGTTTAAAAATATTCCAGAATTCTACAAACATTTTATTTTAAATATTTTTACAAATACATATAAGAAAATTAATGATAAATAACTTTTTTACTCTTCTAGTATTTTTAAAATATAGTTATTAAACATAGTATTTTCATTTTTTTACTTAATGCAGCAGTTCCATATCCTCCAACTAAACCAGACCAGGTTCCTGTATTAGATGTTTGTGTTCTTGATATTGTATTATTAGACCCAGATGTATTACTTGAGTTATTATAATGCTTTAATAATTTTAAAGTTAAAGGATAAAGTTCCAATTCTACATCATCAGAAACTCGAGTACATTGAATAACCTTAACAATTATAATAATAAATATAAAAGAAAATATTATGAATTCATTGATTTACATTAACATTACATAATTATAAATATTTAATTACCTGTCTAGGAAGAGCTGGTGAACCTCTGTACCATTGAACAAGTGCCTTCCATAAAGAACTAGGGACCAACTGAAAATCTCTTCCTTGTAAAAGCATACTTCTTTTAAGTTGTCCTCCTTCTCCAGTGAGAGATGTTACCTTTGTTGTTGGTACAGATATCAAACAAGAATTATTAATTGGGCCAGGCTTAGAAAACCCTGCTTTTCTACTCAAGATTGGAGACTGTGTAGGGCTAAAATTAAAATTTATTATTACATTTAAAGTAATAATAGAGGTTAGGAAATTAAAATTACATATATTAGTCTGTTAGGCCACTATATCTTATATAATAAAACATAAGTTATAAATTTAAAAAAATTAGCTAAAATGTGTAAACAAAATATTATAATTAATAAACAGTTTTTAAACAACCATCTTTACTAAGAATATTTTAAGACAGTTTACATATAAGAAAAATCAATTTTAAATCAAAACATACGATTCTTGTAGTGATGAGTATGAACTGATTGATCTAACTCTTCGATGTCCTCCAGTACTAGGATCTAGAGGAGTAATTCCAGTTACAACAACCTTAAATATTTAGGAAAGTTTATTACATTTCGTTAAAAAATTATTTATATTGGTGTAGAAATAACGAGTATAGTTTATAAGACTTTAATAAAGTAAAATAAACATCCACTATATTTAAATATAAGGCTTTAAAAGCTACAATTTTTTTTTAGAATATTAGATATATCAGTTTATTTAATTAAGAAATTCACTCTTAAAAAATCTTTCTTAGTAGAAATACTACATGCATATAAAAAGCCTTTTCAAAATCGCTAACAGTAAAGCTATTACATTTACAAAAATTAAGAAAATCTTCTTAAATTTCATCTTAAAATTTGAAAAGACTAAAAGTCCAAAGCTTCTTGTTAGTCAAAATCTTACCTATTCTTTATTATACTTACTGGCGAGTTGTCAAGAGCAATACTATTTTCTAAGGATGACTGAGATTTTTTTGATGTAAGCTTAAAAGTAGAGGTCTTTGTGAATGAACTAGTACTTTCAAAGGAACAATAACTAGCTAATTCACAACTATTCTATAATTATGGAATAAAATTATGTTAATTAAAGAAATAAATTTTATTATTAAGTTATAATCAAAATTTATATTTTATAATATATATTTTACTTTAGAATTACTGGACACATATTCATTCCAGTTTTTCCACCAATCCATAGAAATTAAATACCATAATTGACCAATAGCTAATCCTCTACGCTCTTCTCGATCTAACCAACCTTTTACAATTTCACCTTCTTCAGAACGTGATATAGGTCGTAATCCAAATACTACATGACACACCTTAATATAAAAAATAAAATTGTAAATTATTTAAATAAATATATTTTTTATTGGAATAATAAACTATTGTATTTCATTACATTTTGTACAATAAACTATAAAAATACTTTTTTTATATATAAGGGTCAGAGTGAAAGTTATGCAAGTTAATTTTTATGTATAATGAGTTTGACCTGAAAGTATTTTAAATTGAAAACTTTTTTCGGTATCAACTATAGGAATATAATTATGATATGAAACAATATTAATGCATTATCAAAATCAAAGTTAATATTATTCTGTATGTGATTAAAATATTTTAAATCTATCCTGAAAAATTATTAAAATTAACTTTCAATCTAATATCTACATATTTAAATAAGCTATGTATTTTAGTTTTTATTAATCCTCTATTAGAACATTTACTTGAAAAATTAAATTTAAAAAGTCCATTGGTAGCGAATTATGTACAGTCCACATTAAATACTCCCCTATTGCTAAACCTTGTTCAGTAGATCGTTTTATCAAATCTGACACAATGAGTTCTTTAACTAGAAATAATATAATATACATAATATACATAAAACATTATAAAAATAAAAATGTTTAAAAAATATTTTAAACCTGATTCATTTGAGTGAGATCTATTTTCAGTAGCTATGTTATCATCACAGATAAAAAGCATAACATCAACCATTTTTGAAATTTCTTCTATAGATAAATATCCATCCTTATCATTATCAAATACTTTAAAGCAAACTAATTAAATATATTAAGAATAACTGTTAATAAATAATACATATGTAAGTGAAAAGATAAAAATATTATATTCCTGACATTTTTGTCGTTCAGTCAAAGGCCCTCTACATGCGGCTGATATCCCACAAGCCATTTCTTTAAAATCAATATGACCATCCATGTTCTCATCAAAAGCAGCAAACAAACCAGAGCAAACATTTAATGGCATTGGAGGACTTATTAAGGGTATAAGTGTTTTTAAATCGAGTTTTCCTGATGATGATTCTCCTTTTAAAGTCCAATAACATTTTTCAAGTTCAATTATATCAGACTCTTCCACTAAAAATCATTTAAATTTAATCTATACTAGTTTAAATATTTGGTTACACAATTTATTAAGAATTAAAAAGTTAGCACAAACATTAAGTATGTTTACAATTATGAAATCTAAACAAAAATACATTGTCATCAAATATACAATATATATCTTTACACATACAAATTATGAATAAAAAAAATGATTACATTTAGAATATTTAACAGAGATAATTTTTGGGAAGTAACTAAACACTTGACTTATCCTTAATGTTTCTTGTTTTCAAATTTAAGTTCAATAAAAATAAGAAAATGATACATATTAGATATTAGCATAAAATTTAACATTTGTTATATTGAAGGTAAATATAAAAGATATTTAATCAAAGATAAAAAAAAATTACCAGCTATATTTTTCAATTATAAGTATTTATGAGTTTAAACATAAGAAGTATACTAATGATAGCTTACAATGTGTTACACCAGCAAGTGTTTGGTAAAATGTAGGCATTTCCAATTCATTACTCAATGAAACAGAACAAGGCTTAGATAATATCCATCTACTTAATGAAGTAGCATCAGGATGATGTTTTAGCCAAGTTCTAAATTCATCATAATTAACTCGATCTTGCTAAAATATTAGTTTCCAATTAGCAACTTAATATTAAAAATGAATAAATTTATAACATTCTGCTAACTTCAAGAAATAAAGTAGTAACATGTTCAGGCACAAAAATACATTCAGATACTTGAATAAGTCTTTGAAATTCTTCTCTGATTATGATATTTTCATTTTCATTAGCATACAAGTTGAATAAAACTAAAAAAAAAATTGAATGATCTATATAAAAAATTTAAAATATTTTATAATGAATATTTTTAATGGCTTACATTTATATTTTTCTTCATTTGAACCAAGTGTTAAAAGAACAAGACCACAAACTAAATCTTTAAATCCAATTCCTTTAGCTGTACCACCACAAGCTGAATAAATATACTAAGCATAACATTATTAATGATTTGAAAATTCACAACATTTATTAAGAATTAAGCTTTTTAACATTTTTACTCACATCTGCAATTGATAATGGTACTCCATCGCCAAGAACTTCCTTGATAAATGAATGCTTAGAAATTACTCCATTTATAGGAGACAGTCTTTTAAAGGCTTCTCTTAATCTTTTTAATTCTGAATCATTAACTTTAATTTAAAAATTATAAATACATTAATTATTTACATCAATATGAATAAATTATTTATTAATATCACATCATACTTCTTTTAATTGCTTCTTCATATGTAATACAACTAGGTTTTGAATCTTTTGCTCCCATTATGCAGAAATTATAAGACGAACTAATAAGACAGCGTCAAGTGATTTTCTGACGTACAAACATAATGAAAATATTTTCAAAATATTAACTCACCACGTCGTTTTAAAAACATAATGGCAATTTTGTAATGAAATATGAATGAAACTGATAACGTAAAACAAAATGCCACAAAATATCCGCCATTACTACTAGTGATAAAAATGATAGGGTCAATTTCATTTAATTTTAATTCAAATCATTTTAAACAATTATCATAGTATAAAACTATACATCAGTATGATATATCATAATGTTCTGTTAAAATATATATATTATTGTGATTCAAATGTGAATATTAATTTTAAATTAATTATGAATAAAATTTAATTTAATGGGAGAATAAAAATGTCAATAGATAACATTGTATCATCTTGTCTTATATTTTCATGGTCTCAAGGTGGATTTATAAATCCGCCTTGAATGGTCAGTTATTTAATCAGTATAAACAGTATTTTTTCAAACATTCAAGAAATTGGTTTATTATATTATTTTGTTCTACGTGGTTAGAATAAAACTTCCGTAATTTTTAAATATTGGTTATATTACAAAAAATTTAATTTTTCAAAAATACAAATTTTTTGTCTGTTTTTTTTCAAACTAAACACTATTATTATACCGACATGTCTAATTATTAATTAAGCATTTAATTCAGACGTTTTTATTGGGAGCTCTTCTACTAACAATTTGTTTTTGTAGAATAGGCACTGTTACGTCTCATTCCTATGAGGATCAGATAGCTTAAATATATAACATGTATATATAATTAAGTATACACTATTTAAATTAAATGCCACCCTTGAGTAACCAGTTTTATAAAAAAAACTAATGTAAAATTTTAACTTTTATGAAAACGTTAAGGATAACGTTTATAACAAAAGATTTTGTCAAAACGTTTTTAAAAAATGAAAAACAAAAAATATGTGATTTCAATAAACGTAAAATATTGTTAAACAAAACAAAACAATTCTTAAAAAAAAATAATAATTTAAAGTAAGAAAATAGTAGCCAATTATTCATACTAAAACTATTTATAGTTACTAACTCTTGCAACTTTCGCCAATAAAAGAATATATATTAACAATTAGTAATAATAACCAAAATAATAAATTTTATTACTTTGGTTTTTATGAGTATGATAATATGGTTTAGTCTAAAGAAAATATCTCGTGACATTGAATATTATAACTTTAATATTATAATAATTAGTTATAGCTAATTAAATAATAACCCTAGATTTAGGAATTTTAATAATTTATCGTAGTACTCAAGAACATGGTGCAAATCAAATAAAAAAAATTATTCATGAATCACAGAGCTCAATTTAAAAATGTTCTATTCATATATTTCGATTTTCTCATTACTTTAAAGGGCCAATACATTAGTACTTAGTTAACAAAATTTGGGTCATTTTAATAATTATTAACATTTTTAGTGAACGTTTACAAATTTTAGTAAAACATTTTCAATATATATTTTTAACAAATTACTTAACACATACATATATTTAATATATCTGATAAATCAAAATACGTATAAAATACAGGTTTTAGTGCGTCATATCCATAGCCTTAATTGTAATATGATGCGTTGTGAGACAATATTATGTCAATAATACTTTTTTTATAGCCTAAAATATTTAAAAATGTATTTAATATACATAATATAAATCAAGGATATATACCCAGGATTTTAAGGTCGGGGGCAACCTTCAATTTATAGTTACATATGAAAAATATTTTTAGCAACTCTAAAAAATATAATAATAATTTTTTTTCACTTTCACTTAGTAAAGAAACAGTAAATCCCCAAGTAGGAGTTAAAACTAGAAAAAATAAAGACTTAATAAAGAAACGAACCAAAAATGACAAAACCATAGTTCACATTTTTTTATATTTTTTGAAATATTTTTTTCAGCAGAATCATTTATAATTGCAAGTTTTTTTTAATAACACAATAATTTATGAGCTTAATCTTATCAATGTCATTTTTGGTTGAAATCTGTTTGACTGTAATACGCGCTTCCGTCTGTATTACAAATGCTTGTTAGGGAATTTAGTTATCACTTATTTTGTTAAACAAGTATTCGTTTTTTAAATTATATAAATTAATAATTCAATTTGATAAATAACAGTTATTAAAAATCATAGTTTCTGTACAATTAAATGATGTTTATAATCAAGAACAAAGAAAACCTAGTCCATTTATCATTTATGATATTTTATAAAACTTATTACAAATTTAAAACTATAAAACTATTTAACATAAAATTCAATTTGTAGGACTATAAAATATTAGTTTTAAAACACAATGGTCAATATTCTAATTAATAATAATTTTTTTGTTTTGACCGTGCTTCGGAATTGTATTCCGAAACACCGTTCTTCAGTAGGTATTCATGAAATAAAACTATTTGGAAAGAGAGTAAATTGAGAACTACTTATAACAATATTTTCCGGATTTCTATAGTCCGGCGTTCTAAGTTACGAAATTTAGCAATCTGGTAATATACGTCTAGGCATTTTGTTTTCCTTATTTATAAGGTCCAAGATCTTACAATCCTAAATTCTACAGTCCGGCTTTTAAGGTTTCCGTAATTATACAGTTCCAGTAATATATGTCACTGAGATATTTTTTCCAGAAAATTCATGTTTCGCATAAATACTAGTGATGGGCATTTTCGAATATTTTAAACTATCGAATAGTATTTTAATTGTTTTTATACAATCGAATAGTTTAATAACAATTTGTATTTTTGGGTTAGTAGTTAATAATTTGGTTGGTTTATTAAATATTTTTATATAGATGATCAGTTATTTAAATTTATTTAATCAAAAATATAGATTTACATATATTAATGTAAAAATACCAGCAAAAAAAAAAAGTTTTGTATTGCTATAAAAATTATGATAATTAATGCACTAGACCAAAATTTTAATAGAATGTGTTCAATAATTATATGTTGAAACAGTTCAGTAAGTTGAAATGACACGTTTAACTATAGCGAATTCAGAACGACAAAATCCTTTTAAAAATTTTCTTTTTGAAATTAAATGATTATTTAATTAAAAAAAAAAAAACCCAGCACAGGGGGTTCGCGGCACAGTGGTGACGTGGCATAGTTAGATCAAGTATAATGATATCTGACTGTGATTAAAATCACTATAAAAAAAAAAACGCTTCGATGCTAACCTTTAGATAGTGTTTAATTAAAAAAAAATGGTGGATTATTCCAAAAGCTACATGATCTGCTAGTACCTTATTAATATCCTGATTAAGATAAAGTATGTCAAATAAAAAAAGGATTATTAAAAAATATTATTTCTCATAAAAAAATTATGTTGATCCATACACTTTTCAATATGTTATAGTATTACAAATTTAAAAATGAAAAAAATAAAATTGAGAATTTTCACACAATAATAGCATTCGGTAGCCATTTTCACCGTGAAGGCAAAATAAAGTCCGAAATTTTTTTTTTTCATAATAAAGTAAATTACATTAGCTTTAATTTAAGATATATATAAAAGTTTCAGACTTTCCGGAACACTTTCAAAAGTTAAGTTGAAAAAGTTCTACTTTCTACATGCATTTTTTAGATTTGTACCCCCCTCAAATATAGGGAAATGGTCCGATTTAAAAAAACAATATCTAGAATGAAAGATGTATATAAATACTACTTCTCATGAAAAAATTGTATTGATCCATTCATTTTTTTAAAAGTTATAGCTCTTCAAAGTAAAAAATGCAAATTATAAAATCGAGAATTTTCACACAAAAATAGCATCGGTAGCCATTTTCACCATGAAGACAAGTCCAGAGGTCAATTTTTTTTTTTTCATGATAAAGTATATTACATTAGCTTTAATTTAAAATATATATAAAAGTGTCAGACCTTCCGGAACATTTTCAAAAATCAAGTTGAAAAAATTAATTTTTTGTGAAAAACTTGTCATTTTAAATCCCCCTCTGTGAACAAGTAAAGGGTCACATATAATAAAAAATATACCAAATGAAAGGTAATGATATCATGCATCTATATAAAAAAGAATTATATTGATTTGTTCATTTTTGAAAAAGTTATGGCAGTTTTAAGTAAAAAAAATTGAAAAAATTTCGAAAATTAGTGATTTTTAAATTTGTAATTTTTTTGGAGGTTTCCCCCATTTACGGGGAATTTTTTTCAATTTTTAAGGGTAATGTCTTCGACTAGATACGATTTGTGATCTTTTGACGTATCGTTGAAAGAAATCAGTTCGGTGAGAGCTGAGAAAAAGTGGTAACAGACACAAAAAAAAAAAACACATCATAGTAAAACCAATACCTTCTCAGCTTCGCATCGAAGCTAAAAGTTGATATTCAACCTGTTGGAAATCAGTGATACTGTTAACTGTTTAATGATATTGGTAGAGTGTGCGGCTCCCTTTGACGTATGTCGAATTATGTTATCATAGTTTGTCTAAAATACTACGTTTAAATTAAAATATTTGAATGTTAGGATGTTCAAAAATAATCTTAAGTTATTTAAAACTAAGCCTTAGTTTTCAAAATTAGATATTTTATTCTGTATTTATTTTTTTTAACTGAAGAGTAGAATATACATATATATTTGTATACTCTTACCTTTATTTTATTTAAAGAATGAGTCGAAATGAAGAAGAAGCAAATGTTAAATATTGTTCGAATTGGTAAGTTACTAAATTATTTATACAATTTTTATTTTAATCTATTTTAAGAATGATTTGATGAGATAAACTTATAATTATAATTATATTTTACATTTTATTAGCGATAAAAAAAATCATTTTTTATTATTTAGATGCTAGCAGCAAGTGCTGTTAGTATAACTTAATATTCTAATATTTAAAAGCTTTAATTTTGAAATATTAATTATTATAGTAAAATAAATTAATTACAATTTTTTATAACTTTAAATATAAAAATTATAATATCTTTCCAGTTTGAGTCAGTCATTTGTAACTAAACGTTGACCTAACATGAATTGATAATTACTGTATAATTTCAAGCCAAATTATTTTTTATTTATTATCCTAGTTCCTATGTATTTGTCAAATTACTTTATTATTATAAGTAGTTTTTTTGTAGTTATTATTTAGGATTAGGGAAGAGTTCCACTTAATAAAATACTTTTATAACTCTATAATTAACACTCTTAAAAAATTCCATTCACCTCATTAATTCATGAGAAATTCTAGTCTATTCTATAATTAAGAAAAAAATCTTTGTAATTTCTAACAGTCTGGTTAAGGGTCTTTATCCTATTGTTAATGTTTACTTATGTTTAATGTCCTTTTCAAAAGCTATTGCTTATGCCAGAGAGGAAAGGAAGACTTACATAACCAAAAAATAAGAAATTAAACTTCGGTAATTACACACCAAGACATAAAGCATTACTGACTAGGCTGATAAAATTATTTTAGTTTTTGACCATGGATTTTGTTTATAGTAAAATTTATTAATATAAGAATTTTTAAATATTTCCAATAAGTTAAATATTCATTTTTGTGTTAAATAATGTAGATTTTAATATTAGTGTTATAATTGATTCATTTGCACATTATCCAAAAATTTGTTAGAAAAATAGTGTGTTATTATATATTTAAAATATTTACTGATACATCCATGTTTTCAGTTTTATGCTGATGTTTCAAACTTTCCTATTAAAAAAAAATTAAATAATTAGTTTTGAAAAGTTTCTTTTCAATTAAGAATGAGTTAACAATTACATATTATCATACTGGTTTTTTATGTGTTAGCTAAAAATCATTAAACTATTTTTTTAAAGTACTGATTATATAAACAAAATTAAATAACAACCATTAAAAATAAAACTTTTAAGTAAGGTTTATTAGAAATAATGATTACAAGAAGGATTTCATTCCTGAACATTAGAATGAATATATAGAATTTTGTTAAACAAACAAGATGTAATATAATATCATACCTCCTGAAAATTAAAAAAATATGAATTTTTGTTTTACTTTATGTATTTAACTCTTTTATTTTTTATAAAATAAGGATATGTATAAAAATTTTTTAAAAAAGTACATTATTTTCACTTATAGTATATAGTCATAGTGTATAGCTTTTATCATGTTATGCATAAATCTTAAAAATAAAAGTTTAGTTGATAATGCGTAATGTAGATATGAAAAAATTCATTAGAACACTGCTGTAATGAATTTTTTTTTTTTGGAGTGCTAAGCCTTCCCTAGCCTCCTTTCTCTATTTTCACTAGTAATGTAGGTTTTTTATCCTTTCTAGCACAAGCAATAGCTTTTAAGTTTAACATAAGCATCTAAAATTTCAATATTATTTTGTTAGAAAATTTTATATTTTATGTTTACAGTCGAAGAGATATTCCAGTTGTTAACTATGTGATGCATTCAGCTTATTGCTATCGAAATTTAAAATTATGTCCAATATGTGATGAACCAATCCTTACAATCAAACTTGAAGATCATTTAAAAACTCTGCATATTAATGTAACTTGTGATGGCTGTCTTCAAAGACTTCAAGCAATAGATCTTGAATCCCATAAAGTATTCAATTAATTTTTAATAATTACAATATTTTTCTATTCTAAAGATTTATATTATTTTTTTCTATAGATAAATCATTGTTTGAGTCGCCTAATTACTTGTGATTATTGTAACATACAAACTGAAGCTTCTAAATTACCTGAACATATTGAGATGTGTAGTAGTCGCACTGAAAAGTGCAATGATTGTGGACAATTTATTATGCTTAAATATTTAGAAACTCATAAGAAAAACCATGAAATGAAAATAATTCCTAATGGTAAAAAATAATAATTTTGATGTCAAAAACTTATCTTGATTATTATCTTATCTTGATATTCATAGTTGATTTTTATGTGTTCTATGGTCCATCATAGATAAAAGCATAGGGTTGGGTAGGTTAATTAACTATTAAACTTTTACTAAACTGAATGGGGGGTGGTTAATCTATTGTTGGCAAGAGGAATGGCAACCCTAATTAATAATCTAATATTGGGCTCTCCAAGTAGAGTTTCTCATGGCTAATTTAAAAACTGTAAAAATTATAATAGAATAAAATTATCTTTTCCCTTATTAATAATCTTGAGATATTTGAATCAGTAGTTTTAGATTCAATGATATTAGTTTTAAAAAATAAAAAAACATTCTATGAAATATTTAAAAAAAATTGTTATTTTACTGTCTATTTTACAAAACAATTTTAATTTTAGTTACAAAACAAATACTTGATGATAGCTCAGAAAGTTTGGCGGCATATCCACCATTATCAAAAAAAGTGCCAAACACTCATACAGAAATGTCTAATAGGCCTACTTTAAAATTAAATGATCCAAGATTCATGACAGTTAATAGAGTTTCGCCTATTAAACGTAACAATGATCAACCTCAAATTAATACACTTAACAATAATGATGACTCTAGAAAAGCATTTATAAAAAAAACAAATCAATCAAATGGTATATAATTTATGATTGTTAATAATGACTTAAATATATAATCTTAATAATTATTACAATTAAAAAGTAATTTTATCAATTATGTATTTTATGACATCTAAGAATATGAGATATTTTTAATGGAAATTTATACACATTTTAATTAAAAAATGATTTGATTAAATTATAATTATATTTACAGATGAAGAATATTTTATTTCTGGAATACTTCAAAAGTCTGATCATAACAAACATGCAAAAAATATCAATTTGAAAAATGTAAATAACGTAGAAGACTGTAATCATTTTTCTGATATGAATGTGTTGAAAGGTGTTAAACTGCCTTGTGAATTTTGTCACAAAATGATTAACTCAGAAAATCTAGTCTTACATGAAGTAAATTAAGCATTAATTTTAAGATGTAGAATTTTCAGTATCTGGACCTTTATTTTCTGCTTTTAAAGTTAAAGTCAAACCCTTTCCATACAATATACCTATACAAAAAAAATTCCTTTATTTAATTATTAATTTTATTTATAACCCCAGATAAACAAGAACCTATATTGCAGAATAATAACCAAAATATTGCTTATGGACTTTCTGTATATGATAAAATCTTTTGGTTTCCATTATACATTATTTTTTTATAAAAATTAAAAATTATTATATTTTTTAGACTGGATGCCGTCCTGATTTGGCTACATTTCATAATATTTTACATTCTAAGAATAAAAATGTAAATAGTATCAATGATAATTATCCAATTCCGCCTTTAGATTTAGAAAGCAGTAATGAAAGTGAAATTAATTTAAATAATCTAAGTCTTAGCTCTGATGAAGATGAAAATGAAAAAAAAAATGTAGAGAAATTACCTTGTGAATTTTGTGAAGATTTAGTACCACTTGATAAATTAATTGGACATCAGGTACATAAATTGAGAATAGAAACATAGCCACAACTAAAATAAAAATGTTGAGGGTGCTAAATTGATTTTTCCATTATTTTATTTTATAAAACTAACTAACTGTTTCAAATTAGTTGAAATACAAGTGTTCCATTAATAAATTTGATTGAAAAACTATTAAGCATTATATTAAATCTAACTTTTTATAATTTTAAAACACAATAATTCAATGAGTTTTCAAATAGAACTATAAGGATTATAACATTAAGTTTGTTTTTTCTATTAGACTATGTAAAAAAATTATTTTTATTTTTTCACTTTTCGGTAGATTTTCTCAGAAAGTGTTATTAATTAATAAATTAATAGACAGTAAAATTGGCTTATTATGGAAATTTTTATATTATTATTTTGTTTATTTTTGAATAACTATTTTTTATGTACATAATTTATTTTTTCTTCAAATTACAAAAATTTCAAAATAAATTGATTCTTAAATTTAATGACATGCCTGTCAACTTATATATTTTGTAAACTAAATTAGATTACAAAGTGTTAGTATTTTACTTAATTAAGTAATTTAAAAATTAGTAAGTGTTATTAAATAATATTAATTTTTAGTTATTTTTATTGAATAATTAGTTTTATATTTTCTAAGTAAAATTAAATTTTTAGATAATGTGTGAAAAAGTTCATCTTGATATACCTAAAAAGAAAAACTTAGAAAATTATAAAAATTTTCAACAATTAGAAAAATCCAGCAATAATTTGAAATCTAATAAAGAATTAAAGTGTAATGTTTTTGAGTCAAAATCAGGTAAAAAAACACTTTAAATATTATATAATTATAAAATTTGTGTACATAGTTTAGTTCTTTCTAATAATTATGAATCAATATTAGTATTCAGAGAATCCAAGACATGCAGTGACTCACATTTATTGGACTTTTCTGATTCTTCTAATGAAAGTTCAGTCATTTTAAGACTTCCTAGAGCAAAACTTCATAAAGAAATTCAAAATAATGTGGTCATTTCAAATAACCATTTGATTAATAATACTTCTGCAAGAAATAATTATGTACAATTTTTATCCAAGTAAGTGATTTTAGAATATTTTATCACAAATATTTTATATACTTATAAATATTACTAATTATTATCATACCATTAAGAAAAAACTATTTTATATCAGTTTTTTTAATTTGTCGAGTTTCATTGTTATATTATTTATTTACAAATTTACTTGTAGAAATTATTCTTGTTTTTCCTTGCCTTAATCTCAACTATTTGGGGTTGGCCACTCTTATTCTAAACTTCCACTTGACTTTGATATTTACTTGTAGAAATTAATTAAAAATATATATTATTACTTAAACAATTGTTTAATAGTATTTTTAAATGTGATTTGATGTTAAACATTTTTTGTATTGAAAATTTCTTTTAAGATTTAAAATTTAGCAAAGTTAAATTTAATTATAGTTAATATAATTTACATTTTTTAATAAAAATAATTATTAAGTTCAAGATTAAATAATGTAGAAGTATCTACAAGAGAAGACTCTTTACTATGTTTTAATCCATCTGGCGGAGCTATACCTAAGCAAAAATCTAACAAACAAACAAACAATCACCATTTACTAAATAATTGTAAGTTATTGTCAATTACATATAACATTTTAATTATTATTTCATAAGTAAAGAGTATTAATTAACTATCAGCAATAAAAGAATAATAATGATTATTATAAATAGTTCACTTGGACAATATTTTAATTATATCAGTTAACACGAGATAAGCAGTAAATAATGCTATCTCTATTGTTAAAAATAATTGTAACTAATTCTATGTCATTTTGATTAGCTAAATTTTTTTGATTTAATTAAATAATAGTTTTTTTTTTAGTTTCTAAAAGAAGAGGTTCTGGATCATCTAGTGATTGAATTTTTAATACATTTTATAATTTTGAACATATTAATATAAGTGATATTAATCGTATTATATAAGAAAAATATTTATCATATATTTTACTACTTAAAAGTTATTGTTTATTTTATGTAGCTTACTTGTCAGCAAGACAAGTAAAATTAAAACTGATTTATAAATAATTTATATTTTCATTTTAATTGATAAATCAATTCATACATTCGAATAATAAATATAAGTTCATGGTTTTTAAAATTATTATTATTTTTTAACATTCCACAGAATTGTAAAAATTACTTGATGGAACTAAAGTTGTTTAATAACAATTCTAACTTCATCAAAAACGTAGCTAGGATTTCATTAATACATAATTTGTATTATTTATATATTATATAAATGTAATGAAACAATCAACTGATTTTAATTAATGATGTTATTCAAAATTGAAATAATTTTTTCCTTAATGAGATTTATATGAAACATAAGTCAATGCATAGATTTTAAAGGAATTATCAGTAGTTGATTATCTTTTTTTATAACATGTTAGAACACTAAATTTTATTTTCCAGTTAAATTAACTGTAAAAATATGATTTAAATTTCTATGTTTAATAGCGGGTGGTTTGTTTGTAAATCTTTATCCCAACTACATGGGTACAGCCACTCTTATCCTAAACTTCAACTTGACACAACTTCCCACATCACCTACACATATAATAAAAAACCTCATATCACATTAATAAAATCTCACTATCTCTTTTGGTCTTCCTTCACCTCTTATTCCCTCAATATTAATTTCCATTACCTCTATTCTCATAACAAACTATCTAAGTCTATTTTCTCTCACCTTATCCTCAATTGATGCTACACCTATATTCTCTCTTGTATGTTAGTTCCTTATCCTACTTTCTCCAGTTTCTGCTCTATTCTCTTGTCAACCGACCAAAACTCACACTCTTACTTATTCTTAATCCCTTTCCTTCAATAGCTGATCTCCAAACCTTTGATTAATTTCCTCACATTTTACTTCTATTAACATTATATTGTCAGGAACAGTATGCATGACGACACCTCTCCTTGTATTTCTCTAGTAATTTCATCCATCAATATAAAAAATAAATACTTTAAATCTATAAATATCACACATAGCTTTTTCTTCTTTTCTATTAGTTGTCTCATACTAAAAACTGGTTTTAACATTGACTTTCCAGGAAAAAAACCTGACTGGTTCTTAGTTACTTATATTTCTTCTCTTATTCTTCTTTCTATTACATTTTCGCAAATCTATACACTATGACTCAAAAGCTAATATGCCTCTATAATTTCTACATTCCTATATGTATCTTTTGCTTTTAAATATCGTCATCACACTACTATTTTGACATTTGCCCTTCTAAAAGGATTTTATTAAAAAGATCCTTCAACTACCTTAAACCAATACTGCCTAATATTTACAATACTTCTACTGGCATTTCATCTGTTCCTTTATTTTTTTCATTAATGCCATATCCTTTAATATTTCTTTCTCACTAATTAAATCCATCAGTCTGTTACATTACACAAGGTAACCTTTAACGTTTTTCTTGGATATTCATTCACAGTAATTTTTCGAAATACTCTTTCCACCTTTTTTTCACATCATTGCTCGTTAATACTTTCTTATCATCACTATACACCTTATATTGTGATAATCTTTGAACTATTTTTCCAACTGTTACTCTTAAAATTTATATAATGCTAGTAAAAATAATTTGTACACATTTTTGGTCCATTTTGCAGTTTTAAGCCATAGTTATTTTTTCAAATAAAACAATTTTTAATTTAATTAAAAAGATCAAAAATTTGAAACAAAATAAAATCAGTAATGTGATATAATTAGCTTAAAGTGAGACATACCTAGAAAAACAAAAAGTAAGAAACCATTGTTTGATAAAAAATATACTCAGAATAAATTAGAACCACAAATTAATATAGTAATAATATCTTATTTTAACTATAAAACATTAAAATTTTATATAAATTTCGTAATTTATTAGAAATTTAAAGAAACTAAAAGCTAATAAACTCAATATAAAAATAAAGACTGAATAATACTTATAAACATAATATTACATTTTTTCGTTCTTTATTCTAATCCTGAATAATTTTCTTACGATTGACATGGAGACGAAATAGTCTTAATCGCCACTGATCTAAAGTGTTAACTATTTTTAAGGATTGTGTTATACCAGAAGGTCTAGCAGCAGCATATAAAAAATTATACATAGAATTTAATTTTTCTTCGTCTTGATATAAATCAAATACAATTACAATGTGTTCTAGTAAATCAACAACATATTGCAATAGTTTCATTGGATGTTTGGTAAAATATTCTTTATTCACCATATCTTGAACAAACCTATAAAAATTTGTTTAAATTATAATTATATTTTCATAATTACTTTATTTAAATTTATTCAGATTAACTATCACATCAAATTTTATATAGCATAGAAAACATTAGTCTACTGTTAGTAGTCGGAAGTCCTACTATCATAAAGTATTTTCATCAAGTAACAAATTTTTTTTAGATTGTGTACATTTAAATTAGAATTAAAAAAGGTAATTTATACCAAAGAGTTACTAACATAGTATTTTTAATAAACTCTATACATTTAGTATTAATAAATAAATACCTATAAAGAGTAAATTTTACAGAAAACACAATAAAATGTAAGACATTTGACTATTATAGATTTGGGGTTTTGATAATGATACACAATTAAATTATAAAAATGGTACAAATAAAAGAAATAAAATATCTCATAATAATATATAAGGATTTAATATCTCTTATTTAAACTAAAAGAACTTAGAATAGTGTTAAATGACATACCAATCTTTAAAACTTGATGGGAAAGAGTTAATATTTGTTTTTTCTAAAAAATGCTTATATAATTTAAATGTGATATAGGTATAAATCTTTTTCATGGAATGTCCTTCTAATGGTAAAAATAAATCAACAAGTATCTTTAGTAAGTCACTTTTCTTGTGTAGACTGTATAAATCTTGAGCATATGCAGTTATTCCGGTCTCATCATCTACATTAAATGCTGTCTCAATACAAACAGTAAAAATTGTTTTTATTATGTTTATCATTTGTCCACAAAAATGGTCAAATGAAATAGTAACAGTATATTTAGCTAAATTCAACAAATCTTCATTTGACAAAGAATGATTTTTTTTGGTAATATTAAGAGCTATTAAAGTCATCACTAATTCAAAATTATGACGTCGAAAGTTTTCATGGTTACTTATTGTAGATTTTAAAAATGGTTTGCTCGTCAAGGTAGATAAATCAGCTCCCCAATTTAAGAATAAATCTTCTATATCCTAAGAAATTTTTAATGTAATAACCAACATATTTATCTAAATGAATGACTATACATACTTTTATACAAGGTGACCAATTGGCATTAAATAAATTATTGAATATAATATTAGCTTTCAATTCATCTTGTTCAACAGACATACGAAGAAGAATTTCTGAATGAGACTTCATTTTATTTAAGACAACATTTTTATTTTTAAACTTTAAAGGATCAAATATAACCCAACCTTTCATTGATAAATTACTAGAACTTGGAATATTTTTAGATTTTATTATTTCTTTTTGAAACAAATCTTCAACAATTTTTATTTCTTCATCGAGTTCAGCACTTTGCTTCCAAAACTCATTGTCAGCTTGTCTCTCTTTTAAAATCTTTTTAATATCAAACTTGAATGGTTTTTTTACAGGTCTTGATTGGACTTTAGGAGAATATTTTCTAGGACATACATTTTCATCATTCTTTCTTTTTACTTTTGGCATCTAAATATAAACAAAAATGAATAATTAGTTTGTTAACAATAATAAAAACACTTATTCGCAAAAATTGTGATTATTTATTCATGATTATATAATATATATTATATTATTATTTTATTTTAAATAATTACCTTGAAATGATGATAAATTATTTGTTAAATTCACAATTTGTATTCTGAACGCTGTCAAAATATCTACATAAGCTATTCAATTAATTATATTACATAATAGTTATAAAGTATTTTATGAACCAGTTAAATTCTTACAAAGAGAATGGAGAATAAAATTTAAAAAAAATTAAAAACAAGAATGATTATAAATAAATTTGTAGCGGGAACTCTGAAACACTATTAGTGTTATTTAATATTAATACAGATTTGATAACAATTTAATAAATCTATGTTATTGATAACGTTGGTTGTTGTGCAACGATAGTCATACGATTTATATGAATCTCATTAAAAGTTGATATTATAAATCAAAGATTACAGCTGTTTTATTTTGAAAATGTATTCTGAAGTATATTCTTGAAATTATTTTATTTATCACTTCTTAGTGCCAAATGTATATTTTCTAAATTAAACGATAAACAGCATCGGTACAGTATATTTTTGTGTTTCGATGTCACACTGTTAAATCATATGATTACTGGTACAAAAAATTATTTAGTTTTTCAATATTTCTTGATAACATAGCTCTTTATTTGGACAGTGTCCTTAATTAATTATTAGCTATTAAAACCTTTGTAAAAGTTAGCTACATTTTTTAACTTAACAAATCCATATAAATATATAGAAAAGTAAGCATAATGAAGTCATTTTTATAATTTTAAATGTTGGTTACTGTAAAGTTAACACTTAGAATTAAATTTTTTATTTATAATAGCGGTTTTAATTAAATTATATTTGTTATTATACTATAAACTGTTAAGATAATATTTTTCTAACTAAATTTAAAACTCATTGAAATAAAAATTTCGTTATTATTATTTTATTGCAACAAATATTTTCAAATTATATTTTTTTTTTCATTGATGTAATTTAAATATTTTTTTTATTATTATTTGATAAATAGTTTTAATTATAAAATACATTATTATTATACTTAATTTAGATAATTATGTCTGGAGTAAAGCTTTTGTATCAATCAATCTTAAAAAGGCCATCTCGATTCTTTGCTGTGGTGGCAATTGGAGCTTTATTTTTTGAACGGACAGTTGATGTTGGTCTAGAAGCTTTATACGATGAGATGAATCGTGGGGTAAGAATTATCTGTTTTTAAATGTTTGTAGTCAGAACTGTTCCATTCAAAAAATTGATTATAACCTTTTTCATGTTAAGACTAATTTAGTTATTTATTTTATAATCAAATTAAAAGGAATTATGAAAATATTAAAGTTTTTATGGATTCTTATATTATGTAGAATATTTTATATCTATACATATGTCTTCATTTTAAACTGAAAAAAGATTTAATTTGGTAATTTAATTAGAAAATCAAGTTTTTTTAAACACAATGTATTAGTTGTATTGACAAATTGAGGTCATGTTTAAGAAAAATAATTTTTTTTTCACAAAAAGTACCAGTAGTTATTTCTTAGTATATTTTAATGTAATGATAAACTACAATTAAGCCTTATGTAACTGGAATCTATGTAATACTGAGAATAAATATAATATTTCTATAGATTTTATTTTTAATTATATTATTTTTACAGAAACAATGGAAAGATATTCGTGACAAATATTTGGAATAAAGTTTTAAGACATTACTTATCAATAGCTATGTTGTTTAGTCAACAGTCATTTTTTTCAATTGTAAATTTTATGTTATTAATAAATTTTAGATTAAAATAAGTTGAAATAAAATGCATTATACTTGTTCTATTTACTAAATTAAACAAAAAATAAAACATTTCTCATATATCGTATAACATAATATTTTTTTTATTATTTATCATTTAAATAATGTATTTTATGAAAAAGTTTTTTCATCAAAATTTATGTTAATGTTTTTTTATTAAAAATAATATTTTTATGTTTAAAAAAGATCATATATAGAAAGTATAACTATTAGTAAAATTAGTGTAAGTTATAATTAAAAACGATTTAATGTTATCATTTTTATTAAATCATATTATATTTTAGCTTACACTTGTATTCCAAAAACATTAGACAACATATTTTATTCTTTAAATTACAAAAACTTTAAACTAAGGTGGCTAAATTTTAAACACAGGAAAGAAACTGCACTTTGCTAGCCTCCTTATCAAAATAATATTTATGCATATTGAAAATTAAATATCTTATGATAAATAATTATCAATGATATCTAACTATTAATATACTGTGTTATATATCTATTTTAAAAAAATTAATAAAAACTAATATTAATAAATTATCAATGAAAAATAGTAAACAATATTTTCTATACTTTTTTTTTTAATATAACCATTAGATCATTCACTAATATCCAACATTTTTTTTTGAGAAATGTTTGTATGGTTAAATCGTAATTAACTTCATAAATTACAAATATATAGCTAAAACAAATTTCTAATAGCCACATATTTTCTATAATAGAGAGATGTTTGAATTTTTTGAAGTATTAAGCTTGTTGCAAAAAAAAAAAAATTAAGTAATTATTCTAATTTGGTAATGCACTTCAGATATGATTAAAAAACCTTACTAGTTATTAATAAAAATTTTTAAATCCATTTAATTTATTCCTCCAAAAGTTGAAATACAACTTTTTATTTCCACCTGTCTTAACCCTTCTACAATTAAATAATAGTATCATTAAATTCATTTTAACATTAAATCTATTGAATTTGAATGATAAAAATTATTCCTATTTTGTCAAAATACAGTAATGTTGCTAATGCAACTATATGACATTCGTTCTATTTCAATAATATAGACATTTTAAAATTATTAACAATAATAAAGAACACTAATTTTAGATGTATTTTAAACATTGTAGTTAAAAATAAGTTACTAGAAATATAAATAATTATATTTACATTTAAAAGCACCAATTAATCATTCAATACAAATAACAATACTTTTTGAATACTAAATAACAAATATAATAGTAGTATAACAAATTAAAAATAAATAATTGTCTTATTTAAAAAATATATTTTCTTCACTAATTTTATATTAAATACATAATGAAAAATTTTAACTTAAGCTTAAAAAATGTCTGTCTCTCGAGGTTTTCTAGATTCTTGTATTAATTTTTGTTTTAACATAAGACTTTTTCGTTCATGATTCTTTAAATCTTCTTCTGATATTTCAAGTTGAATGAGCTGAAAATAAAATTATACATAAAATAATCATTTTTTTATAAGTAGCATTTATTTTATATAAAACTAGTCGTACTTTTTTGATTATTTTATTTTCTTCCAATAAGTTAAGAGGTGGGTTTCTTAGAGCTTCTAAGGTTTCACACATGGTAGGGTAACGTTTTTTGAGTCCTGAGTAAGATCTTGCTTGCAATGATACTTTAATAATCAACAAAGCCATTTTAAATATAGATTTAATACCTGGAAATTAAAACACTATTCAGTTACAATTATCTGAAAAATTGTATGTGATCTTACCATCACACAAAAATATATCCCAAAACCTTAATAGAGTAGGCCAAGGTAGTGTTCTTGTGAATGCACATAAAAACCATTCAGTCATATACAGAATAGGATCTATGTTTTGTTTTTTCTAAATATTTAAAATAAAATGAAATAATTATTTAAATGAAAAAAGTATTTTTTAACTCACTAGATGTCTATAAATACTGGGCTCAGTTTCTTTTAATAATGAAAAAAGTATGTTTCCATCTTCTATTAAGGTTTCCTAAAATGTCAAAAAAAAAAAAATTAAAAGAAAAAATATATCTAAAATAAATAATAATATCTTATCATTAAAAATTAAAAATTATCATGTACCATTCCTGGACTATAGTAATCAACAAGGTAATTATCACAAATAGATACAAAACACCAAAATGACTGTTCAGCAGGCATGTGCATTAGGAGGAAGGCAGCTATAGGAGCTTGAGCTTGACAATAACCGATGTCTGGTCTAAAAACTGTATATGCTTTAAGAACATTGAACAATTCTTTTTGACTAAAATACATAGAAGTTTTTCATTTAATAAAAGTATTTTACTCATTAAATAACAAAGTGTAATAAACTATTACCCGGTACCATCTTCACTAACAAACATTTCATGATATGGAAATTGTCTATGTAAATCTTTACGAATATCTTCAATCCATTTTCGATCTCCTGGTTGATCACAAAGTTTGAAATACAAGTTTTTATTAGCTTCAAGTAATTTATTTGCTGTACTTAAATATAACCAAGCTCTAGGTCTTATTGATTGTGGAATACCTTTTCTACATCTATTTTGTACCTGAAAATAGATCAAATTAATTATAATTTAAGTTTAAGATTATTTATTCATTAAAATTATAACAATTGGTGGTATTACTTTTTTAAAATTTTTTTTCATATGTTTATCCCAATTAGTTGTCATTTGAATCCACTTTCTTTCTCTTTTTTTGATAGTATTAGGTGATATAAAATGCTTTCTAAAATAAAATAATTATTATTGTTCACATGGTAATTATCTTCGTTTCTTACAGAAAGTGAAATGTATGTTCCTACCTATCATAGTGAGAACTTAAGTAATAATGTAGAACATTAATATTTGCTTAAACATAATTTATTAATGTCACATATAAAATTAAGAATTTAATGCTTAGTAAACAGGAAGTTTTGATTTAGCAATAGGCATGTTATAGAATACAAATTAATCATTAGCCAAAAAAGTACTAGTCTTCAATAAAATAACATGCATTAATTACTAATTACCTTGATTTAGTTCATAATATATTGAAAAAGTATCTACTGAATAAAAATATTTATATCAATAGTTAAAAACTCATATATTAATTATAGAACATTTTTTGCTAATTCATTTTTTTAATTTACATAATAACTAATATTTAAAAAATAAAGGAATACTTAATTATTTTTGTATACAAAATTTAATATTTTATAATTAAGTGTGATTAATAGGGTCTGGAATTATTTGCATTTATACATTTTGTTTAAGCAACTTTGGAGGGTTCCAAATATGTGGAACTTTTTTGTAGCATAATATAGAAGAGAGGAAATATTTTTTATTTTTGGAGTGGATAAACCTTTCTAATCTTCTTCAAAACTAAAATCTCAAAAATAGCATATTACTAAGTTTTCAAGTAAATTAAAAAAAATTGTACTGGCTAATAGTGTGTTTGGAGAAATTTAACAAAATTTATAAATGCATATATTTCTGGACTATAGTATTAAAGTATGATCATTATAAGAGAATTCCAATAAAATTGAAAGGTAAGGTCTATAAGACTGTAGCGAGAACAGCTGATGTATGGTAAAGAGTGTTGAGTGGTTGACAAGAGATTAGAGATGAAAATGCTTAGATGGATGAGTGGAATGACTAGAGAAGGTAGGATAAGTAAGAATATAGGTATAATGTTACTCATGTATAATATGAGAAAAAATAAATTTAGATGGTTTGATTGTGTTATGAATAGAGATATCAAAAAACCAAAAGAGATGGAGGGATGTTATTGAATGCGATATAAAGACGTCTGATATAGATGATATGGGATGTCATGTAAAGTAGAGGTTTAGGATAAGGATGGTTGACCCCACGTAGTTAGGTTATAGGTGAGGAATAAAAAGGAGTAATTAAGTATAATTATTAGAAAAATTAAAAACAATTATCATTATTTTCATGAAAAAAAAAAATATTACTTAAATTTAAAGTTGAAAATTCAAGTAAAATTTTATAAATTTATACAGAATATTAATAGCGAAAATTATTGAAGTATTTTGCTAATCATTTAAAAAAGAAATTGAATATTATATTAGACAATATCAATAAATAATACTTACGACTCAGCTAAATACTGTGTTCCTCCAAAAAATCCATGTCTGTCAGGAACTGTAGAAATTACTGAGCCATTTAATGCTAAAGAACTGGCATCAGAATAATTGTCATCGTCATCTTCATTATTTTCCATTTCACTTAATACCAATGAACCATATGTTGAATTTTTTAATCTATCAGTGTTTTTTATAAGGCTAAAAAAATTTAATAGAAAAAATTGTACAAGACAGTAATTAATATATTGTATGAATATTTGATGTTACGTTATTTTATTAAATATACAAAAAGCCTAAAAAACGCCCACTGTCATGAATCCTTTTTATAACATTACTTGCCCAGAGGAATTTAAAACGTAGTTGCCGTTTATCATCTAATGTATTTCCATCTTTTCGTGAACAACGTTATTTGATAGCATAGGGTATTCATTCATATACAGTAAAGACATTGCAATTTAATAGTTCATATATAATATACCCCACATTTGTAACACACGACGAAATTATTTAAAAATCAAGTTACTGAGTAAACAACAGTCTTATCATACCACAGCCCACAAGAGATATCGCTACAAGGACAACCGTGTTTAGATTGTGGTGAGGATGACCGTTTATGAAATTAAAAATCATACTCGTTGCTCCTCTCTCCCACCACTTGTAATCAGAAATGTCGAAATTTTAATGAATATCATTTTCGACGAATGCGAGTTGTGTAGGCGCAAATGACATGAGACGATTCTCAATAGAGTTTATGATCATTAATATACTGCAACGCAAATGAAAATACGTACTTTTATACAGTCTACGAGTATTTAATATAGCAGGTATAAATATTTGTAAAAGAAATCACCTTGAAAAAATGTAAATTATAAATATGATTTTTTAAAACTTCATATTACATAAAACTAAGAAATTATAATGTAACTATTATTAACATGAAATATTAATATTGAACTTTATCTAGTGAGGCGTTACTTTAGAATTTTCAAAATTTATCCGTGGAGGCGATATGTGATTTTGAACTCCTCTGGTAAATTCTAGATTTATATTTTATGTTGACAAGCAAAACATAAACGAGTTCTTTAAAAATTTGCTCACTTCTTATAGTAAATATACAATTTTAAATTTTAACGACGCTCAAATAATTATTAATAATTTTGAAAAATGAAATACAACTGAAATATAATTTAAATAATGACTGAATTATCTACTAAAATTGTACTTTTAGGTAGAATGCAACTACATAATTTATTATTATTTATATATTTTTTATTTTATTATTTTTAATAATCATTGTAGAATATTTCAACAAATTATATAAAAATTGTATTTTTAGTATAAATTCTTCTTATTATTAAATAATTTTTTTGTTTTCATTTTATCGTAAGAAATATATTTTTATATATATTATAACATCCATAAAAAGTTAAAGCTCTTTTTTCATCTAATTGGACATAATATTGACATGAATTTTCAACAATTAATTAATTATATATATATAATATATTATATAACTGTATTTTTAAATTCATCGATGTTCTAGAATCATTTGCAACATTTTAAAGAAGATATTATTAAGGATTTTATTTATATGGTATTATATTATTATCATCTACTTACTGAAAAAATTACTAAAGTTCAATATTTTTAATTTTAATATAGGTATTTTTAAGTTGTAAAAATAATAAGAAAAAACAAAACGGTAGCACAGTGGGGTCGAGGCACAGTGCGGATGAGGCATAGATGGGACAATTATAGATGATATCTGACAGTGATTAAAATCACTATCATAAGAAACGCTTCGATGCAAATCTGTAGATAGTGTTTCCTTTAGAGAAATTGGTGGATTATTCCAAAAGCATCATCAACTCTGATTTCTTTAATTATATCCTGATTAGTAGTTCTTTGATTTTAAAATATAATATACGAATAAATACTAATTATAATTATTAAATTTAGTATGAAATTGATATTCAATAATTTAATATAGTAATTTATACGTAGAAATTATAAAAATAATAAAGAAGTTATATTTTGCTTTACTTTTACGTGTATAAAAATTTAAAGGGCTTGATACAATAATTTTCAATAAAAACTGTTTGTTACTATAAATAAATGCACTGTACTACAAGGAACTTTCATCAGAAGCAAAAATATACTTCTCTAAATCAACTTTTCGCGTTGTTTTCAAATCTGCAATTACACTTTTTCTATCACTTCTAATTTTTTATATTATGACTAATTACATATAGGTCAAGTTAGAGCAAAGAAAATTAATGATTGTCACAAAAAAATATCTTCTCAGCTTTGTATCGAAGCTAAAATCTAAAATATAGTAAAATAATTTTAATATGAATAAGAAATTTCTTCTCGCGAGTGGCGACTGCAGTGTGGAACCTCGTACCCCAAGCTTGTAAAACACAAATAATACCAACTCGGCAACCGTAAGTCGCTACCGTCAACTGAAATAATTGGCTATTTAAGCTAGTTCAAATTTCAAAGTTATTTTTCTCGACTTAAAAGAAGCAAACAAATTTAAATAAGTTTAACTTTCTATGCTATATTAATTTTTTATTTATATAATATTTATGAAAATCTGTAGTCCCCTTGNTATATAATATTTATGAAAATCTATACTCCCCTTGTCAGGTATTTTAAAATAAAATAAAATACAAAACCCAGAATTTTAACACAAAAATAGCAAATTTTTGAATACGGTAGTCATTTTTACCGTGAAGACAAATCCAGAGGTCACATTTTTTTTTTTAAATTAAAGTATATTATATAAGCTTTAATTTAAGATATATATAAAAGTGTCAGTATTTCCGGAATACTTTCAAAAATTAAATTGAAAATATCATAGTAACAATACGCATGATTAAAGTTTTGACCCCCCTTGTTAAAGGGGTATGATCCGATTTACAAAAAAAGCGTGTAGATGAAAGGAGTATATAAATATTTATTATAAAAAAATAATAATATTGATCCATACATTTTTCCAAAAGTTATATAAAATATAAATTAAATAATATAAATTTTAAAATCGAGAATTTTTTCACGGAAATCGTACGTTTTTCTTTAACTTTGATGTCCGTTTTCACCACGAAGACAAGTCCAGAGGTCAAATTTTTTTTTTTCAAATTAAAGTATATTACATAAGCTTTAATTTAAGATATATATAAAAGTGTCAGTCTTTCCGGAACATTTTCAAAAGTTAAGTTGAAAAAGTTCTACTTTCTATACGCATTTTAAAAGGTTTGCACCCCCCCTGTATAAAGGGAAATGGTCCGATTTTAAAAAAAAGTATGTCGAATGAAAGAAGTATATATAAAGTATTTATCATTAAAGAATAAAGTTGATTCATGCATTTTTTAAAAAGTTATAGCAACATAATGTTAAAAAATGTAAAATATAATATCAAGAATTTTTTCACAAAAATAGCATATTTTTGCATACGGTAGTCATTTTCACCATGAAGACAAGTCCAGAGGTCAAATTTTTTTTTTTCAAATTAAAGTATATTACATTAGCTTTAATTTAAGGTATATATAAAAGTGTCACCTTCCGGAACATTTTCAAAAATCAAGTTGAAAAAGTTTATTTTTTGTGAAAAAGTTGTCATTTTAAATCCCCATCTGTGGGCAAGTAAAGGGTCAAATGTTCACAAAAATATATAAAATGATAGGTAAATATCTAAGGTATCTATAAAAAAAAAATTATATTGATTTGGTCATTTTTAAAAAAGTTATGGCAATTTTAAGTAAAAAAAATTGAAAAAATATCGAAAATTAGCGAATTTTAAATTTGTAATTTTTTGGGGCATTTCCCCCGTTTACGGGGAACGAGGGATTTTTTTTTTAAATTTTGAGGGTAATGTTTTCAACTAGATACGATTTCTGATCTTTTGACATATTGTTCATCAAAATCGGATCAGTGAGAGCTGAGATTGAGCGTATACAGACACACATAAAAAAAAAAAACACATCATAGTAAAATTAATACCTTCTCAGCTTTGCGTCGAAGCTAAAAGTATTTAACTTTTATAAAAATAAATGAAAATATGATTTAATATACCAATATTTTATTTTTTATCTTCAATTATTTCAATAACATTATAGTTTCTTTATTTTTATACTTTAATTTGACTAAAAGTAATTATTTTTACAGAGAAGCTTATAAGTTACTTGGGAGTCAGACATATCCTAAGTTTTTTCTTAAGAATATTAAATACAGCTTATAATTGTAAATAAGAGACAATTCTCTAAAGTTAATTTAAAGTAATTAAAAATTGACAGCATTATAAAGGAACTTTAATAATTTTTAGGTATTAACAGTATGATAAAATATAAGATTTATTATGATATATTTTTTTTGGAATAATATTTTAAATATTCATATTAAAAATTTATATTATTTTTATTATTTATTAAACAAAAACGTTGGGAGAAATAGATCTGAACAATTCGAAGATCGTTCGGCTTCCCTTTTTATATTCAGTCCACATGCTTTTCTCCAAACTGAATGTTTGATGGTTCTTGTACGACGGTCCTCCCCGTGGAGGCGATGTAACAATTACTTCAGGTTTGTATTTCTTTAAATCTTCAGCTATAGCGAAAAAATCGCCCTCAATAAATTCAATTCTATCTCTTAGGCCATAAATTTCACATTATTTTTAGCAAATTCCAATTTTTTCGAGTCATTGTCTATCGCCAATACTTTTTTATACTTCTTTGCTAATTGAATTACGTTACCCTCGGTACCACAAAACGTGTCTATGGCTAGATTGTAACCCTCACACCTCTTGGTAATATGCTTGCTCAATATTTCAGGACACACGGAATAAAATGATTCTAAAATAATAGATATCGTTATTATTAAACAATAAGAAATCACCTGAAATTAAGTTGTGTTACCATAATCTTAAAGAATTCCGTCATCAAATTTTTCAAACAAAAATTGTCTATTGTCACAAATGTTTTGGACCATCATGAAGACGAGTTTTATTGGAGCAATTAGTGTAATTATGTTTCATTGATAAAAGAAGAGTTTGGTGTATGTGATTGAACTGTTTCAGTTGGGTTATTTATTTGGGTTGAAATGTTGTTCTCGCACACCTCTATAGTGTTTTGGAGCTTACTAAAGGTTTTATCGTCGGTAACGTCATTACTTGGTAGATTGAAGTATGATAAATTTGAAAGTATTTTGATCTTGTCGGTTTCAAACAAATTGCCTGTTGTATCATTGTTTGAAAAAATATATTCTTTCATTTCAATGGTCATAGTCCGTGCGGATTTCTCAGTAGATTTTCGGCCAGTTGTTGAAATATCTGCCAAAATAGGCGTAATATTTGGATATGTAGCTAAAGTAGATTTATCATCTATAATTGGTTTTACAATAGGAGTCACAGTTTTATTTTTCTTTGGAAAGTTCAACGTCCAAATATATAAGAAGAGTTAGTACCAAAATAACACTAAAAGCAAGACCCTGTATAAATGGAACAGAAATAAAAAGATAAGCAATCACCACAGACGCAAAAATGGGAAATGTATGCATTGAATTGATTAAATAAGTTCGTAAAAATGATTATGCTTAAATGAAACAGTCTAAAAAATATCACTGTCAAAAGGCTTATAGAACTTTGTACATAATTATCACTATGGAGAAACACGAGGGGTAATTCAAAATTAACTGAATTTAAGCTGTATTTTTTTTTACTTTACAAACAAAAAATTAATTTTGGTTACTATTATTTTAGCTAATTTATGTAACTTATAAATATATTTCATTAGTAAAAATGTTGAGTTTTATTAGGTATCTAATGAAGATATATATATATATATTTTTTCTTATCAAACAATTATTTATAAATAATCTATTTATTAGTCTGTTTATCTAATATTGGTAATATTAAACAAATATCAGTAATTGTGTTTGTAATATATCAACAAATTTTACAGTGCGATTTCTTAAAAACGATAACTACATTATTTGTTAAATAGGAATCATTTTTTTTTAAAAATGTAAAAATAAAAATTTGATTTATTTTTATAAATTTTTGTAAATATCAAGTTTATTGTAAGAAAAAATGATTTCTAAGGGTAGATATAAGGGGTAATTTTCGAAAGTTAAATGGGACCTATTATTATTATTACTATTAAATAAAGAAAAGTAAGAATTAAATTTTAACTGATAGACAACCAATTTTGTAATATTACTTTTTGGGAGATTTGCATTCAGTGATTTAGAAAAATTGAGAAGTGTGGTAGTGTTTATCATCGTTATATTTTAAACATGACGCACAAATAAGAATTTTTTAACATACCCCTCTCGACTATTTGATCTTGATTAAAAATTATAGATTATACATTAACTGAAAAGTTATCCCTAAAATCTACTCTTAGAAATCATTTTCTCTTATAATAAACTTGATATTTACAATGATTTATAAAAATAAATCAAATTTTTATGAAAAAATTATTATTTAACGAAAATATGTGGGTATCATTCTTGAAAAATTTCACTATAGATAAATGGAAAGTTAATGTATCATTAGAGAAGTTTATTTTTGAAGTATTAATTTAATTAGTTTCAGTTTATATTTAAAAACCTTAAGTTACTTTATAAGAAAAAAATGTATAATTAATAGAAACTACTATATAGAGTCAGTATGTAAGGAAACAGATTTTATTGTTCTCGTTGCTTGTAAAAATTTACCTGTTTCTTTCCTTAATTACGTACACTCTGTGTACGTGTATTCGTAAATTTTATACGAATACTATAGTTTACTCTCATTTATATGTACCAAATATTATAAGTCAAACTACTTATGTTATTTGTAGCAAGTAGTAGTATAATAATTACAAAATTTAAGTAGCCTTATTTTTAAAATTGAATGGATGTACAGTAAAAAAAATTTTATTTCGTTAAATTTTGAGATACATACTTATTGTTTAAATACAATAATTAAAACACCTAATGGAAATAAGTTTTGTGATGTTTAAAATTGTAATATTAAAGCTAATTAGTGACTTGATACGTTTGTAAAATTTACACTTAAAAATTTCTTACTTTACTCATCACTAGTTTCAACTCAATTTAATTGTAAATCTTTTTTTTAATTAGTGTGTCATTTTTCCTTAAAGTTGTCATTAAGGTTATGTTGATTCTAAAAACAATTGTTTTGTGAACTTTTGACTGCTGCTAATGATCATCGCTCCTCTTGATTTTATTGTTGAATAGGTATTTTATTAGAACAAAAGCATTTCGAATTAAACAGCGCGTATAAACCCTTTTCACATTGTTTACTACATAATGTACCAACCATCTAAATTACACACTTAACGAACGAACATAGCTCTAAAAGTTTATATCATGTTAATTATATTAATTAAGTTATGTGATATATGCCTCAAACAAACTATAAAAATTATCTTAAAACCATTATATTCTATAAAAATTTGAAATTCCCTTTTAACCAAACCCAATTCCATTAACATAACTATCTGAGGGCATAAGGGACATAACCCTCATAACGCCATAATTTTTAGACCTTGGTAAATTTTATAAATGGCAACTTAATATTTCATGTAGGTTATTTTATATTGTGTTAAATATATACGTGGGATATCTTTAACAACTTAAAATAAAAAATATATTGTCATTATCTAGCTGGAGATTTATTTCAAATAACTTGTTACATGATAAACCTGATTTCGAGAGTGCGACAAGATGAGTATTACATATACTGTTGATTGTTAAACGCACAACTTAGAATCAGAGTCGTGATTAATCGTTTTTATTGTGATAACGAATGCAAATGAGTAAGGTAGAGAACTTAATGCTCTGAACTAAATATGCACATGTATTAATTATTAAATGTCTTAATAAATTTGTAACGCCTTAATAAATATTGAAAAAAAGTAAATATTAAAAAAAAATTTGTGTCTAGAATGCCTAATTTTATGTATACACAAAAAAAATACAAATTTTTGATGTTGTCTGCCTCGTAAATGAATACTAACACTTCATTTGTGAAAAAAAACAGACGCTTTCTTTTTTGCTCAAAATTGCATACTTAATGTGCAACATTAAATAGATTTTAAAAAATGGTAGGACTTCAGTCTCCTTAGACAGAAATTTTTAGTTACGTTCATGTCCGATACGCTTAACAGTCAAAATAATGATTTTTTTCTTTAGATAGAATAAGATCATATATATAATAATAATTCATGTGATTATTTTTATAATAATAAAAGTTTAGATTTTGAATTTTGCACCATTTACACAAAGTTTACCATATAATTGTTAGCGTTAAATAAATGTACAGCGTGTGTACTAAGTATTTTGGATAGAACTTTACCGACACACCAGATGTCCTATAAAGTAATGATTATATATAGGTGGAAACTTCCATTTCAAAATTATTGTTGTATAAAGCATTCGCTTCAAAATCACGTTCAATAAAGACAAGTTTTAATAAAAAGGTATTCAGTCACGAAGCGAGTTGGTTGAAATCAAATGCAAAGTGCAAATCAAATAGGATAAATATGATAAGTGTGACATGCAAACAAATTTAAATTCAATGACTTGTGATTCGTTATAACTCTACTAAAGCATCTGCATTATTACATAAAAATTTGAAATTATTTTTATTTTTAATGGGAGAGGGAAAATTAATTTTTTATAAATGACATACCCAAAAATGTTATACTAGTTGTACCATTACTTCTTGCGGTAATTACATTAGTGGCCCATAAAATCAAGGTTAAGCCACCGACAACGTGTAACGATTCAAAAATAAATATCTTATAAATATAATATCTTATAATACAATTAGTTTCATTTTCAAATTTATAAATATAACCAACTAAAATAATATATATAACAATAGTAATAATATATAGTAATGAGATTTATCTATACAGTGTTAATCTATCAATAATTAATAACATCCACTCATACAATTTTATAATTAAATAAAAGATCATATTAAAATACTATAAATTAGATTTATTTAATCAATTTAATAATCAAGTTAACAATACTATGTAAAATACTTATTTTTTTTATCTAGCGCGTGAGCTAAACAAAGAAAACACATACAGTAATATATTTTTATAAATAATTTATAGGATATAATAATTATAGTTATACATAGACTATTTACGAAATATATACATTTAGATATAATTCATCAATTATCATAAATCTTACTATAATCTAAAATTGAATAAAAGTACCAAATATAAGTATATAATTTTATAAGAATAATTAATGGAAAATAATAGGAAGTATATTGTGATAAAAATTACTATTTTTTTCAATTAATTGATTAAAGAAAAAAAAGGATATGTAAAATAAATTGCACAAGAAATAGAGATATCATACCAGTCAATAATAACTTTAATCATACTTATATGTAATCAGCCAATTGGCGCATGCGTAGGGGAAAATTCCTATACAATATCAGTAAATCTAATATTATTTCCAGACTATAAAAATTTGTCCATAATCAGCAAATGATGAACTCAGACTTAAGTAACATTTTTTTATGTGTCTGCTTTCTAATAAGATGATATGATGATAGTGAAGATGACAATATGTTTAGAGTAGAAAAATAATAAATTGTTGTCATCGATTTACAAATAAAATAAAATACAAGACGAAATGTTTATACAAAAACGAATTGCGCTCCTTTTTTGCACATGGGACACGAATGTCCATTTTGCTGTCCTGCGGATTCTAAACGGACCCATTTACCGTGACAATGAGGCGCTGACAGAACTGCCCACCTAGTCGACCTATCCATTGTCCCATGCCCTGGACAACGAAACCCAAGCGACTGGCGCATCGCTTGAGCGTCACATCGCACACACACCCGTTCTCCTGAAAACAAAGTACAAATGCAGTGGCCAAGAATGTAATTCGTTATTTTTCTTATTATTTTAGAGACAGTATTGAGGAGAGGCCTGACAGTTTAATAACTTCATTTTGCTATCATATATCGTCTCCTTTGTCGTCGACAAAATCAAGAGATCCGATTAATAAGAAAAAAATTGAAGAGAAAACAATATTAAATTTTTGTTTAGATAATAAATTTCTTTAAATAGTCACTTTTTTTGTTTGTCGGCTAAGAACCCTTGTTGACTTATACTTAATAAAAAATAGATATTTTAAGTTAAATTTATAATAATTCACCAGTATAAAAAAGATGAAAATACAATTTTCGAAAGGATATGAATTTTTTATTTATGACAACTTCAACATAATTTCGCTGTGTTGATGATTTACGAGTTGTAACAGAATAAAAAACTAATTTAATTAATTAAAATGGTGTAATGAATAAATGTATAATAATAAATACCGCTAGTATTTTAAAAGTAATTGATTTGAACTAATAAATAACTTAAGTTATTTATTTATTTTACCTAGTTAATTTTAATTTATATTCAATCATAAGGTCTTACCTTCTCGCAGCAACGAGTATTCAGACACTTTCCTACAAGCTTTGGTCGCTTTCATTACTTCAAAAAGAACACAATACCTGAAACAAAATATTTGAGCGTCTTTGAGTCGAGTTATTTAAGTACAAAGATTAGTATTAATTAGTTAAAAAGTTAAAGTAAAATTAAAATAAAATTTTTTTTTAAGTTTTAAAACTTAAACTTTTTAACTTTTTAACTGAACTAGTTTAATTTATCGTAGAAATAACTTGGCGTTTTTAAGTTACCTTGATAATAACTATCAAGCTAATATTAATAATGCATAGAAATTTTGTTTTAAATGAAAATAATCCAATAAACACTAAAATCTGTGATTTACGTTTCTCGATTAAAAACTATTATACTAAGATAGATTAGCATAATAAATAGGTCACATTGATATAATGTATCAATTGCTCACATAATAATATTATTATTAAGGATACTCATCTACTGTCAGATTTAAGAATAATTCTCAAATAGCTTAAATAGGGTGTTGTGTGTGATAATAAGTATATTTTAATTTATGATGAAAAGTTTATCACAAATATTTACCATAAGCGCTAGAATGAAACTGGGCTAAATTTACATAAATTGGCTAAGATAGTCTTATTATATAATAAAACATTGTAAAATTAGCTAATGCTAGAAAAATTACTTAACAACGTACGATTTTCAACATTTTTTTTTTTAAAAATGAAAGATTCGATGATATTCTAGGAAAAATTATTTGTGACCGTTTTTTTTTTGCACACCGTGAACGTTTAAAACTTTCTCATTCATCAAAAACGCTCATTTCCACAAGCGTTTTTCGATTTAAATCCTGAAATTTTTACTAGACATGTCCAGAGATATTCCAAAGGTACCCTGAAAATTCAAGGAAAAGTCCACGAACATATTTTTTAATAGGATATAATTTTACTTTGCACGTTTAAATTTAATTTTTATGTTAGTATGTGTAGTTTTTACTAATAACACAGCATTTAAAGATTGTTTTTAATGATTTTAAAGTTTTATTTCGTCTATCTGTTGTTTTTAATAATAATTAGTAGCCGTTTATTATGAAGTATGATTGTGAACACACAGAAGTATTTTATTGTCATTTTTTTAAAACTATTATTTAATTTACAATTAGGGATAATTTTCTGGTAAACTGCTTTTGGAGTTAAACTTTTTTTACATAATACATATCGTGCCCGGCGTAACCCAATACTCCTACCGGAATCAGTGTCTAACTTGTAGGAATAGCATAAAAAGGCCTCAAGCGCTTCCGGCTCGTGTAGGGCACCAGGTCTGGAGCAGAGCCCCAGCTAGGCAAAGTCTTGTGTATTTATATAAAAACAAATATAATTCTTTGAATTTTTTCGGAGAAGGGTGAGGAGTACTTTTTGAACATGTGTATTAAGACTGTATAGTTGTACTAGTATTATTCATAAATTAGAAATCATAAAGGGAAAATATTACACATGAGATTTTGAAACTGATTTAGAAGTAAATGAAATTTTTTTTAATTCAAATAAGTTAATAACTTTTTTTACTTTAACTTTAAACATAACTAGCATTTGTTAGCTTGTAATTTTTGATTTATCGGTATGAATCCTTAAACTATGTTATTGTACGTACATAAATATATGAGCTCCATTTGTATTATTTTTATTTTATATATTATACACTTAAAAACCCATGAAATTAATTTATGAAACGTTTTACTCTTGAGTAGTTTATGATATTTCTATTCCTCAACATTTATATTGATTTCGATTCATATCGTTTATTTTTCAAACATTCTATAAAAGATATCGCTAATATTTATATATTATTAAAAAACCTTTTCAAAAGAACACAAGTATACATATCTGTAAAAATTATGATTTTTATTTACCGTGCCTACTTAACAATCCTCAGATACAGAATAATCAATGTATTTTGAATTGAATACAAACGATTTGAGTACTTAGTTGTTGGTTATCAAGAATAGTATAATAAGATATGTAAATTATAATATAATAATATCTGATAATAAAATCATAAATTGTACTTATGAACACTAAAATAATGTATTTATAACTATTTACATTCAATTTTTTGTTACAACATGGTTGAATTATATAAAAATAATAACATAATTATCGTAATTATCATAAATAAGATTTAGGGAAATGTGATACGCAACGGGAATATCTCGATATCCAACTTCATTTGGTCTCACGGTTATAAAAGTGAGTTCTAAAGTATGCTTCATATGATAACACTAGATCAATTTTTTGAATTCGAATATCAATTATTTTACCTCTAATATTTGTTAAACAGTCCAAATGCGTATTATCAGTTCAATTTGAAAATATTTAGTGGTTTTCGATATTAAACGTTTAATCGATTTTTCAATTGTTTTTACTCTAAACATACAAAATTAATAAATTGAAAAACCAAATTAAAATTTATTATAAAAATAAGCTAAAAATAATTTGTCCAAAATTAAAAACCAATAAATTTTTAAGAGAGTTACTTTTAAACGTTCATATCACTACCACCTTGTCCCACAGACCATTACCAGAAAATAAAAACTAAAATTGAATAATAATAAATATTATCATGTTGCACTTATTTATCATTTTTGTAATTTATTTTAAATAGTTAAACTGTAATCCAAACATTATTAAATTTAAAAAAACAAAAGTTTAATTAAATACGTAAGTAATGTCAGTTCTATTAGAATTGAGTTTAGTCGGAGTAAAATATATCTTATAGTTTATTGTTTTAAGTGAAGACCCATTTGATTACACTAATTTTCTATTCAGAAGCTAAAAGTTCCTTTAATTTATATATTGTTCAAGACTCTTAAAAGGTAATATACTTAATTTTCACATTTTTAAATGAAACTTAATTTAAAGAAGTTTTATCGTGTTAAAAAATAAAGACAATTTTTAAGGTAATTATATAGAAAATAGATAAAATAAATTTATATTAATTGGTGTTAGTTGTTAACATGAAGTATAATCATCACAAAATAAATAATGTCAATATTTAACCATGTTAAGTTCAAAAACACATTCAAACAAAATAACTTTTTTTAAAAAAACTTTTTATTTTGTATTTAAATAATGACTTATTTTTATGTAAAATGAACTCGATAAATTTTAGACGCTAAAAATGCAAAAAAAAATATTTATTTAGCCATTTTGAAATCTCAATTTGGAAAGTTAAATATATTTACTTTTACACATTTAAAAAAATCGTTAGAATCAATTATACTGAACTTACCAGTCGATAAGATTTAATTTTTACCTTTAATATAATAGCATTTAAAAAATTAAATAAAGCTAGTAGCAGGGTTGTATCTTCAAAAGTATAAAAGAAATTAATTTTTCCTTTTTAGAAATTATTAGTATCATATCTACTTAAATAAACACAAAAAAGGAGGATTGTATTAACTTCACTCAAATTCCTACCCAATTTATGTATTAATATAATAGTAACTCAATTGAGTACTCGTCCTAAAATTGTGATTGACTTGTTAAAAAATTGTATAATAAAAAGACTAATAAATGGCTATTTTGAAATTTTGAAAAAATGAAATTTTTTTCTCATTTGTGATAAACAATAAATAATATACTTTAAACATAGTCTAAGAAGTCAATAATACATAAAGAATTTCAACAAAATGATAATTTTATCAAAAATGATAAGTGTAGACAGTCATATCTGGTGCATCCTTAGTATGGTTCTTTATCGTGCGTTGTGATATCATACAAAAGAATTTTAAGCGCGTTTTTAATTTTATATCAGTCACTATAATTATTATATGAATCCGATATATAGTTTTTGTGTTAAAAACTTAGCCAAGTATATTGTGATGTATACATTTAATTTTATGTAATTTGATTATTAATAAAAACAATTCATTCATGCATAGAATATATTTTGTTAATATAAACATTATTATTAATTTACAGTGTTTAATATTTTATACAAATTAATCTATTACCATAATGACCAAAACAATAGATTAATTTACAATGTCGGAAAAAAAAATTATAAAATAAAATTGAGATACTCTTTGACGGCTGAAATTCATTGTTGTAATAATATAAAATGTTAATTGAAATAAAATCCTATTGTAGTTTTTAACTACGTAAAACACCTTTGGTAAGTCTAACAAAAATTTGGGTCGTATTACAACAAAAACCAGATCTCGACACATCATTAATTTGGCAATAGAAAATAGTTAGACCAGAACTATTTAGAAGTAAAATATTATACAGATATAGCTCCACTAATCTAAGTATTTGTTTTAATTTTCAACTTAGTTTTAAGTGTAAAGTAACAGATACAGGTGATGCCGCCCGCTCCTGAAAAATTTGCTATAAACTCTGTAATAATTGACGCAGAGTAACATATTTTATTTTGAAATATAGACTAACTCGCCTTCTTTTAATTTTTATTCGCAAAGAGACATTAAAATAACGTATTATGAAATGACACGTGATTTCTCAAAAAACAATTTTGCGAGTAATTACCCGAACAGAAGGATAATACCGTCCTCCATTATAATAATAAAACCAATATTTTTTTAACAACTTGTTATAAACATTAAATTACATTTAAAAATTGTGTTGACGCATTGGTTCCCCTTAGCCATAATGATGTTGAGTCAGGTCGACCAGACGGTGTAAAAATCCTATTCAGTCACAACTAATAATGATTTAACGCATTGGTTTACTTTTCTCTACTTTTTATCAAATTAAAAGCTAAATTAACGAGATATTACCGTGAGAAATATTACCCGATTTTGACATTTATATGAGATTTTTAATTACTCATTAATTAATAATAAGAGGTGTTTAATAGTAGTACTATCTTAGTAACAGTATCTTGAGCTATCATACAATACTATGACTATTGAAGTATAGTTATCACGGATTAGTTGAGTTTAAAATTCTATCGAAAAATTATTAGACGAAACACTACTAAAAAATTGATAATAAAAACTGAAATAAATGTAGCTTTGATATAGATTATCTTAAAATGAATTGTAAATTAGATTTTGACAATATCTAGTTAAATAATTGTAGTATTTATCGAAATATCAAGTGTAATATTAACTGATGAGTGTTATTCCCCGTATTTCCCCTACCTATAGATTAGTTTTCCAGTAATTCTTTGTAAGTTCGTAGTTGTAATTTCAATTATATTTTATCTTTAAAATCGTTTGAATTTTGTATTACTCGATTAATTATTTAGATAAAACAAATAGAACTTTGTTCAATTACAACAAAGAATAATAATAATATTTTAATATTATCTTTGTGTTTATCTTTTTCACCGTATTCGTACACTTAAATCATTATCCAGTTAGTTTATGTACTTAATAAAAGTGGTTGCTTAAATTATAAAATTCATTAAGTAATACATTTATCAACGTAGATGTTTCAATAGAAATGTTAAAATAACATCAGGGACTATTTTTTAGTCCATAAAGTTATGTTTAAATAATTTTTGGTTTATTATTGTTTAATTGAAAAATGTCGTAAGTTTATATTAAGCAAGAATATTCAACATGTTTTTATATAGTAAATATGTTTCAAGTATGATCAAATAAGTTGCCAAACTAACTTGTCTTACATGTGTGTTATGATTATTTTATCATATACTTTACACGTGTAAATACAACTAACGCTTCATATAAAATCATACTTGACTAAATTTATGATTTACAAATACAGTCTTCACTTCAGTATCAAGAATTATGAATGAAAATTATTTATGATAATATTTTTATCAAAATAATAACACGTATTTTAATTAATAGCCTGTCTATTACCAACACCTCTTATATTAGCCGTTTCATCAGTTTATCGTTTCATAGTCGTTATCTTTAACATCACGATGACTTTTTGCTATAACTTCAATGTATTTTTACGAAGGGTAGACGTCGGTGTTTTATTTCCATTTCAGCATTCCAAAACATTAAAAAAACACATCACTTTTAGACAAAACTGAATGTCTAGAATATTAAAAAATCCATTAAAAATGGACATTCAAACCAATATCGAGATTCATTGGTAAAGTTTGTTCCAGAAATTTACAGATAACATAACTATAGTTTCTAAACAATCTACACGCAATAACAAAGGTATGTTTCATAAAGAAAACACTTATCTTTTAGAGGTAAGAAACTTAATTCAACTTGAAAGAAGTGCAAGAAAAAAATGGCATCGAACACAAAATCAAGTGGACAAACAATGATGATTTGAACATGAGGTAATTACGTACTTCAGATCAAACCATAGATCGCATTAAATATTTCACTCATCTTGAAGTTGCAAATGAAATAGATAAAAACCTGAACTCTAAAAAGTCTCTGGGTTTTGATAGAATAATTCCACGTAAAATTAAAGAATTATCTCGCAAAGCAATAATCTTACTAACTTACATACGACACACGGCTGTTGACATTGTCATGCCGCAAAGAATTTGCAAAAAAAATGTTGATAGTATCCTATCCTATCATGAACAAAAAGATGGAAGATACTATTAAATTGTTCAAAATCAATACACATGAACTTAACGACTAGAGTAACGAAGACGATAATGCTTAATGGTAAAATAATTCCACAAGAAAAGTCAGTTAAATATCTGGACATGCATTTAAACTGAACTGGAGTATACAGATTAAAATGAAAGTAAAACAAAAAAGATATAATATGTAATGGTTAATCGGTTGGAGGTCACAAATATCAATAGAAAATAAAAGGCTACTTTATGTATCTATGTAAAAACCAATATAGACCAACGGTATCCAATTATGGAGCTGCATCAGCAAGTCTTGGATTGATAAAATTCAAACTATGCAAAATATTACTCTCCGTACTATTACTAACGCGTACATGTACGAAAAAATGACCATATTCACAAGGATATGATGATACCAACCGTCAGAAAAAAAATTTAACAGTATGTCAGGGAACTTGAAAATCATCTCAACAGAGCGGCAGCTCAACTTTTTGATCGTTCTCAAGATGTCAGAAGATTGAAACGGACTAAACCATATGACTTATTGTAAATATATATTGATTGATGTAAATTTTACTAATACATAAGTTAGGAGACTTCTTCATTGGAAGTTGCCCCCATCATTGTGTATAATATCTTAACTAAACATTTTATGTAACTCTGGATGTTTACGTTAGTGAATAATTTTGATTATATATAATTAAAATAATAGTTGAAAAAGAAGTTTGTATAACTTCTAATTGTTTAAAATTATTTTACTCTTAGCAAATTTACAAAAAATTTTTTCTTCATTATAAATTCTTGTGAAAATGGTTATTTATGGTCAGATATAATAACCTAAGATAATCCAATTTTTTAAAAATTGTTTTTTTTATACTTATCATCATAAAACGTATTACTTATAATTCAAAATAATTTAACATGAGTTACTGTTAATAGTAATGAAAAAATCTCCAATTTGATATAAATTAGAAGTTGTCAAACTTTCGGAAACATTTTCAAAAATCGAGTTCCGTGTGTGTGGTCTTTTTAAAACCCTTTCTGTACATAATTTTTTTTTTAAATTGACTTTTTCATTTTACATTTGATATTTTAAAGAAAATGAAATGAAGCAAACAGTCAAAAATTTACGAATTTTATATTGGCAGGTATAAATTACGGTTTATCTCCATAGTTACAATACGTTGAACAAAAGGTATTCAAGGCTCTTTTCGGCTTTTGTGTCAATAACTAAAAAGAGGGTTTGGTAAGAAGTAGCTAGTTCGAAATCATAGTCTAAAAGTACTCCAGTCAGCATTAGATTAATGATAGCTATAGTTTCAAACTCTAAGAAATTAAAAATCGTTTTGAGTAAAACTTGCTCAAAAAATACTTCACTAAGTATGCTGTGTGGACAACTTTATTGTTATATGGAAGTTTAATAAAGTTTTATAATGCTTACTAAATAAAGTAATAATATTCTCAACAAATATTCATAATCATCACTTTTTCAATTTCTTTTTAACCTGAGAACGTGTATTAGGATATAATATTTTTAATTTTTCAAAGTAAATAATTAGTTTTAATAAACCAGTATTTAATGTGCGAATTAATTAATCACCAAATTAATGTTAATATTAATATTAATAACATTTTAATAAATTAATTTTTTAAGGAAAATCAAATTATTCAATTTTTTATTACTTAGCGTAAACATAAAATATGTAAAAATGAATTACTCCAAGAAATATATATTGTATGCTTTGGAAGAACACATTAACCGGTAAAATCATTAAAATCCATAATAGTTAAATTAAATATTATAAAAAAACTATTAAAAAAAAAACATTTATGAGCAACTGGATTCTTTATGCGGTATTTAAATAATTCTATACGACACAAAGATTTAGTCGAAAGTAAAAATAAAATACGTTTACCTCAATACTCATGTTATAAAACTTCTGTTTATACTTTGAGTATAAAATCTTTTTTTTATATATTAAGTAGGAATGCATTTTATAAAATTTGTGTAGACTTTTTCCGTTGGAAATCTTGAAATGTATGTGTATGTTTTAAGGTTTAAAGAAATATCAACACTGTATTGTTGACGTATCTTAAGGTTATTTTTTTTAAGGCTTGGGGGATTAAAATGAGGTTTCTGAAAACTTCTACCTTTCATATATTTTTATCGTTTACATCTCTTTGAATCTATTTCATATCTTTCTTCAATACTGAAACTACATTAATTTTAAGCGCACACTTATAATATATAAAAGACGTCAAGTAAACAACTTTTATTCTAGTTACAATATTCAACCGTAACGTTAAGATTAAGGCTTAAAAAAAAAGTAATCAACGCCGTACGTGAGAAACATCGAATGCCCCAAAAAAAAAATGCCTTGTAATTTGCATATGTTTTATTTTCGTAGCATAGAATAAATATAATAATTTTAATTAGATGCTTAAGAGAGTTTATTTTCATTTATTTATTGAAACAAGGAAAAATCCTACTTAATTTATGTCAGATATACAGACAAAACTAATATAAAATAAACAATTCAATAATTAAAAGAAGTAACACAACTTAAAAGTTTTGATATTTTAATTAAAAGATGTAAAATAATGGACAATAATTTTAACACAATCATCAAACTTTTGCATTATATTGCTTAAAAGTAACTTTTAGTTAAATTTTAATTCAAATTTTTTAATTAATTAACTGTGTACAAACACTAATTAAAGAAGAGTTTGTTACAAATTTCGTACGGCGAGAAAATTGAGATGATTATAGATGATCCAATTGTAGAGAAACAAAAACATTTCTAAACGTTAACTGAATCAACATTTTCATCGGATATCAATTAATATTATAAAGAAAATTAATTTTCAACTTAATATTAGAGAATACCATCAATTTACAATTTTTAGTTGGAGTCCATCATTATAATATTTTATACATTTTTAAAGCGTTTGCAAACAAAAGAGTATATTTGTTTGACAATTTTATAATTTAAAAATAATTATTATAGAATAAATATTTTGGAATAAGATAGAATTTGTATGGGACACCTTATAGCGCATTACTGGAACAAGATTTATTATATTACTACTACTACCAGTTATACAAGAAATTAAGCAGCTGTTAAGTAGTTATTTTTGAATATTTAAAAAAATCAAATAAATTATTTACATTAAAACTTACTTACTCTTTTGATTCCAAATCGACTGGATCTTTTGATAGCCTGTATTTTAAATTATGACGAATATCTTGAGATTCATTGTTCAATCGACCAGAGGCAAATGATGCAGGGAGCAACATGGCAGTTTCTGAAAAAAGAAAATATAAAGCTATAATATAAACATAAGAAACTTCCAATGTTTTTGCTACTAGCAAGTGAGCTTTTTTACATATGATATAATATGAAAAGTATTATTGTTTTTAAAGAGTACCGCGAGAGTAAATCGTATAATAAACTTTTTAAATGTTTTTTTATCATTTGAATATATAGTAAAATAGACGTTCTTTAATTTTTAAATAGTTTTTTTTTTTTATATAAAACCATTTAAGTAATATTGGTAATTTCATAACATTAACTTTATATTAGGTTTTGAGATTTTTCATAAATTGGTTTCATAAATTTTTTTTATACAGCGTTAAAATTTCATATAACATAATATTTTAAATGAAGTCTACAAATCAACAAGTTTGCTGTAAATCCTGTTTTTTCAGTAATAATATTTCTCTACTATATACATAATAATCTATTAGTTGTTATGCGTTTTCAGTAAAACGACTCTATTTAAATTCCATTTAATCATATTATTCATGAAATATTATCAATATATAAGACTACAATGTAAACATTACAAATTCAGTTGCATTGTCAAACTGGACGAATTCCATATCTCTCTTATACCCTTTAGCGCTGGTGGATAAACAACAGTCATCAATATTTAAGGTAAAACTAACTGATACGCATAGACTAAATTAATTAATCTAAAATTTTATATATCAATACCAACTCGTTTATTTTCATTAGTAAGCTTTATTTTGAAGTATTCATCAATTCAACTAAAATTAAATATTTATTAGTTTTTGAAATTAAAGATTTAAAAATTGTTTATATAAAACGTTAGAAAAAATAATTACAGCCGTCATATAGTTTACCATATTAAATATTAATATTACTAAAGGAAATAATTTATAAATTGTGTCATTCTTGTTAATTTAAAAGACTGCAAGTTTAATTTCAACGTTTTAAAATTACAAAACGATATATTATTGAAAAAAAAATCTAAATTAACTACCATTTATTTAATCTTTTGCATTGAATTTTATAGATCGATTGCCCAATAAGTATTTCAGTTTATTAAAATTATAATTAAAAAATGTCTCGATAATTATTTTTATGTACTAATGAAATTATTCAGTAATTTATAATTAACAACAATTACTTCTGTTAATTTTATTTTTTGTTAATCTATTTATTTCATACTATAAAACAAAATATCTTTATTTGTTTTTTATGTTTTTGTTTTTATTAAATTACATATAAAAGAAAATATTAGTTGGAAAATTGTTATAAATGTATATTTCAAAAACCCAGCACAGTAGAGAATAGTTGGGACAAATATAGATAATATCTGATATTGACTTAAATCACTATCATAAAAAACGCTTAGATGCAAATTTGTAGATAGTGATTCATTTTCAAAAGGAATCGTTGGATTATCCAAAAATTTTTTATCTAGTTCCGCATACTAAGCTTATTTTTTAAGCATATTTTAAGTATTTTGAATTATATAAACAAATTATTATAATTATTATTATTATTTTCATTGGTTTAATTATTAAGTGCGTTATGATGTCAACAAACTTTTTAAGTCAATCAACGTAATCGTTATATAGACTTTTGTAAGAACTATTGATTTTCATTAAAACTTCTCAAACTTCATTATTGCACTAAGGTAGTTTACTCATACAATTGGTAAATCAATGTATATTGTATATAAACGAGTTTTCGAAAAATTAAATTATCATATAAGTGGTACTAAATTAGTTGCATCATTAGTGACAGTTCATTACTAATAAAATCATTTGGGATTTTGTCGATTCTATAACACCTATATATGTGAATTGTACATTTCATTGAATATAATTTTAATACTAAAATAATTGCTGTTGAGAGTAAAAAAAATGTGTAAAACTCAGATATTTTTGATATTATTGTAATATGTTTATAAAAATCATCTTTAATTATAAAATTATACATATATATTTTATAGTATATGACGTATCACTCATAATCTGTTATTTTGGAGAACCCATTAATAACTTTCATGTTTTTAGAAACAAATTGTGTGATATAAATTTTGCTTGCTCCAATTAGCTAGCAAACAGTCGATATTACTTTGTTAGTATAATAATCAAATACTTTAACTAGAGTAGTACGCAGAATCTTAAATGATCCTACGACCTAAATTTTAAAGTCATCTTTTTTGGCTTATTAGTACTAAGCAAAACATAAGATATTACATAAACTTACAAGCATAGAAGTCATATACTATTATTAGTTATAATTGGCCAATAAAGAAAAACTAAATTAGCTATAGCCCCTTCTCTTGACTACCACTGATTATAAGATTTTATTTTATGATTATCTTACTCGGATAGTAGTTTTATACAGGTTATATTATCAATGAACGAGAAAAACTAGTGTATTTAAAGTATTAATTGGGTTGCATACCACTGTAACTTAACAAATAATGATGGTATATGAAATCAAATTAAACTATTTTTTTCAGCGGAAAAAAATACATAGAATTGTATTACATCATATATTTAAAAATATATAACATTCAGATTGATGATAAGATGATTTTTATAAAAATATTGCAATATTATCAAAGTTCTAGTGTTAACGATAATTATTTAAGTGTATGCTAGGAATATAAAAATTACATTTTTTAAATCAGCCATGAAAAATTATAGTTATTAAGAAAAAAAAGTTCAGCTTTGATTTTCGTAAGATATTCATCATAATCAACTTTGTTTTAACTTAAGATATAGATCTTGAATTTTAGAAATGCCTCTTAAATATAACTAATTAAAATTTAAAAGTGGTTAAAAAAAATTTAATGTGCAATAAACTACGTAATTTACCTTATTCTCAATAATTACCAATTATCTCAGAAGCTAGAATAAATCTTAAAATTTTAATGTCAGATTCAGAATTAGCAACGAAATTTCATTTAGAATCTACCATCAGTTTATTTGGTGCAAAAATGTTGTGTAATGTTATGAGAGAGGAAATACAAGTGTACAAGTATATACGAATATATTTGTGTGATGATATTAGAGTTTATTGTTTTATAAGTTCGTCAATATCATATGTGTATTTGATACGAGCGAGAGTGATAAAAAAACAACCAACTCCTCTGTTAAACTACTTTTTTGGGGGGTTATTGAGTTACATTGTTATTGAACGCGAAACGTGATTCTGGTCGTTAAATTCCTAGTGGGTAAGTACATTGCCATACAATCATTGTAAATCAAATTCTTGATCAAATTATGTCATCAAGACAACCGTTTGGGGAGACTTAGACACAAGGGTAGCTTCAATCTTTAATTAATATTATTAGTTTATCCATAAACACGCATAACAATACATTAATAATGCAACACAGATCCAATAATATAGATTGATTTAATCGTGTTTACTGTCAATTAGTTCACGGTACGTTTCATACGTCACAATAATGAAAACTAAATTATTGTACAAATATAATCGTTCAAATAGTTCATAAGCAAAATATAAAAAAACCCAGCACAGTGGGGACGTGGTATAGTTGGGTCAGATTTAATGATATCTGACAATGATTAAAATCACAATCACAAAAATTCGATACACATCTGTAAAATGTTTAATTTAAAAAAAATGATGGATTATTTCAAAAACTACATGATCTCCTATTTCCTTATTTATAATCCTTATTACAAGTTTTATGATTTATAAGTGTAATATATGAATAAATATTTAAAGAGAAATAGTTTTATTAAAAAAAAAAAGTATGTAGAATGAAAGAGGTATATAAATAGTATTTATCATAAAAAAATTGTATTAATCCATACATTTTTCAAAAAGTTATAGCATTATAAAGTTACAAATATAAACAATTTTTTTTTTTTTTTTTACAAAAATCGTATTTTTTTTTATTAACTTTGATGTCTATTTTTACCGTGAAGACAAAATAAAGTCAGAATTTTTTTTTTCCATAATGAAGTATATTACATAAGCTTTAATTTAAGATATATATATATATAAAAGTATCAGTATTTCCGGAACACTTTCAAAAATTAAGTTGAACAATTTGTCATTTTAAATGACCCCTATGGGCATTTAAAGGGTCATATTTATAAAAAAAAAATACCAAATGAAAGGTTGAAACATCATGCATCTTTAAAAAAAATTATATTGATTTGGTTATTTTTAAAAAAGTTATGGCAGTTTTAAGTAAAAAAAATTTAAAAAATTAGCGAATTTTAAATTTGTAATTTTTTATGAGATATCCCCTATTTACGGAGAACGATAGAAATTTTTTCAATTTTTGAGGGTAATGTCTATGACTAGATACAATTTATGATCTTTTGACGTATCGTTAAAAGGAATCTCATCGAACCGAGACCTGAGAAAAAGTGGTAACAGACACACACAAAAAAAAAAAAAAAAAATTTAATAATAAAAAGAAATACTTCATAGTAATACCATCTCAGCTTCGCATCGAAGCTAAAAAATATGCTAAAACTATTAAGGAATAGTAATAATTAAAAAATAAATAAAATTATTTGTACAAATAATTTTACAACAGTAATAAGTACATCTTTTAATCTGGCTATAGGAAGCTCAAAAAAATCTAAGTCTTATTGCTTTATTAGAAGCTATTTACATTTGGTTTAATAGAGAATAATAATTATAGTCTTGTTAATAAGGTAAATAATAAAATATTAATAATTTTAAACCAATAATATATTGGTCAATATTAAATCGAAATTGAGAATTATCGATGCACAATATTATAGATATATTTAGATCATTGACTAAGCAAAGGACAAAAAGTTAAATTTTCTCATGTTTAATTTGTATGATAATACACATTACAATAGCAAGTATAGGTTTGTTGAAGACATGTAAAGTGCACTTGTAATTGATTAATTAAAATTAATAAAAATTAGTTAACCCAATAATAGACTCATAGAATAACGTAAATATATTTTGGCAACGATTATACAATTGTTAAAATATACCACATAGGTAGTACTAAGCGTATAAATGCAATTAGCGTGCGTATGTGATTAAAGTACCCTTGCCCAGTGTTTATGGTAGCGTTTGGTATTATACAGAATTATTTATTACTTTTTGAGTGTCGGTACTCTTATATCATGCGTTAGAAAACGTATTCTTTTAGAAAATATGGAGTTTTGCCTAAAGTGATAGAGGTGAACTTAAAAATGTCTACATTAATAGTATATTATAAATAGATCTTAATATAACCAACAATTTGAGAGTTATACATTAAAAACGATTTTCTCCCTTCTAAAAAATTCTGTAACATCTGTTATTTTTTTAATAATTTGAGGAGTCTTTGGTAATTTTTTGAAGACTATGCTTTCCAACTCCTTTATTATTTACGTATTTTGTATAAAGACGGAATTCATCTGAACTCTAAAATTTTTCATGATGATAAAAAATATTAACTGAAGCATATTTGAATCTTATTGAGGACAAGGTACATAAGAAAAAAGTTTAATATCCTTTCTAAACTAAAAAAAAAAAAAATTGTATTATCACCTTATAATTTTTCTCGTCAACGAGATCCAACACCCTAACCCTTTATCCAAATTACATCCGTGTCATAATAAACCAACATTTAATTGGATTTTCAAAATATAATATAAAAGATTTTCATCTACTATTGTTATAAATATGATACTGACGAGCATTAATTGTTAGTGAAACAAAAGTTTAGCTATAAGCAAATGCGGTTGAATATAACGATGACAGGTTTTAATTTAAATTTGTTATTGTCTAAACTGTATGTGACTAATTGCATTTTCGTGATGAAACGAGCATAATTCAATTAAAAAGTATTCGTCGTTTTGTTTTTTAAAGTAGTAACTTACAAACGCTACAATATTAGTATTTAAATGTAAAAAAATTTTGATTGTTATTTCTTTAGACAAGAATAGAAAATATATAAATAAGTATAAGTAGTCCACCATCGAGTTAGTTCAATGTGGTCGGCATTTAGTAAATTATATTTATGTAGTTAAAGACGGCTGTGAGTATAGGCAATTTTATAGCATTGGAGACTGCAGACGCCATCGTGAGTATAATTGAGTAACAGTTGGGAGTTTTTATGTTGAACCTTCCAAATAGTTTGCAATTGTTTCGTATATTTACTGTCAAGCCGTTTTCTCATTTATAGTAAAACACACTATTAAATTATTCTAGTAAATAGTTTATAACAAAAATTCTTTACATTAGTCGATAAATACCTCACCGTCACGGAAGAAATTTAGAATTTGCGTTACACGTACTAAATTGTCGAGTATTATTAAAATAATTAGATTTAATTTTTAATCTTTAAGAGTTTAACGATGTAACAGATTAATATATTTGTTAATCAAAAAACGAGCACATTAATATTTTCACGAGACAAAAGAACAAGTCAAAAAGGAAAACAAATCACTTCAGTGTTGTTCTCTAAATTTGAAAACAAGAAAATAAATATTATTTACAAAAATATAATTTTTTATTTTAATATACGCCCCATTATAATTGTGTTTTGTATGCATGGTGAGTTGGTAGAGAACAAGTGTCAAGTTTTAATGTTTGCATTAGTCTTTTTGACAGGAAGCGTATTTCTACAGAAGTGCGGTGACATTACAGCTGCTGTGAAGTTGAGGCAAAGTAGATTTTGTTAGATACACACTCATTAGCTCCCGAACTCTATGTTTAAATGATAAATTTGTAATATTTTAATGAGAACTCATTAAATTACAGACCGTCTAAACATCTGAATAATAAAATACTATACATATAATACAAACAAGAATATTTATATTACTTACCTTTGAGGGCACTGCCAGGGTAGTTGGGGCATCTAGTTCCCATGCAAGCCCGCTTTTGCAGCAATGATGAACAGTGTTTACCTCCATTTTCTGGCGCTTTGATCACTTGTCTCTTACGTGTCATCATACCGTTTCCGCATTCAGTATCACACTCACTCCACGATTCCCATTCTGACATGACACAATCAATAACTAAAATTAAATAAAATCATAAAATTGATATATATAATAATGATATATACAAAAACATAAAAATTTTTAAAAATCCTCAATTAATTCATTTTAATTATATCATTTGATAAAAGTTAAATTTTATATTATTTTTTACCTTACAAATTATAAAATAAAATATATATACCTAGAAGCAACATAATATAATATCTCTATTTAAATATAATAAATTTCTACCAAAAATTTAATTAATATAAGTGTTATATTGAAAAGTAAAAGGAAATTAATAGCTTGAACTCGACTACTCTAATTAAAACAAAGATAGCATTTTACAATATGCTTTAAATAAATAATTGATATTTGTGTTGAGACGCCGTAGTTTATTTATTAAAAAAGAAAATTGTATAAACAATAATAAGTTTTTGAATAACTGAATAACTTTTCATGTTATTATTATCAAATACTAAAAAAATACTTTTTTGTTTATGCAATTCACGTGAGTATTTCCGATAAAATTAATTTTTTTTAAACTTAAATCATGTTTTGACAATGAGTAAAGTATTATTTAAATAATTAAAGCCTGAATAATATCTCAAAATATCTAAATTTAAAATATTGAATTACAAAAATTGAGTTGAATAAGCTATTATGTTTAAAATATTTTTAAATATCTTATAATATAATAATTATATTATAAGATTTTTGACTTCTATTTGAATTTAAAAATATTGCACACAGTTCCAGAAAAAAAAATGCAGTTTTAAGAATTTAGTGTTATTTAAGGAAAATATAATTGATTTTTTTTTTTATATAATATTATTCAAAATTATCTTAAAATTTTTATTTATAAAAATCATAAAAGATTTTCCATAAAGAAAACTTTGATTTTTACGTTGATTAATACACTTAAATCATAAACTTTATGACAGTTTAAGTTGATGTCAATGTGGAATCAATCTTCAAGAGAAATAACAAATATTATAAGATACGACGGTATTTTCTGTCGAAAAATTAGCAAGTAGAAATTATGTCGGTATGGTAATCTGAGACGACGATGGTGAAAACTAAAACTTTTGAAATAATCAAAACGTTTATCGCGATGCTGTATTGCAAGCTATGAGAATATTATCATATCAAATTAATTCATAATGGTTGGAAGGGTAAGTTTTTAATGACAGACTCTGAATAGTATTACTGAGTAAACTTCTTAAAAATTTTCTTTTGTTATGACTCTGTATCATTTTACCAAATAAGATAATACTTTCCATGCATATAATTATGTTTTACCACAATCATTATTTTTTCCATAAGTTCTTTATCTTTTTATCATCGCATAGAGTATTTTCATGAAAAAATAACAATTTCAAAACGATCATGTTTTATCATTTAAGTACTGGTTAATAAAACTGTTTTTTTACATATATATTTTGACAGTTATAGTATTACTAAAATTTTAATTAAAAACGTAGACTACAATATGTAAATAACTATAAATACAATTGCAAAAATGATATTGGGTTGCACTTTTATAAAAATTTAATTACATTAAATAAAAATTGTCGTGTGTTGTTACCAAAATATGGAAACATATTTTTTATTCTAATACACACTTATATTCAACTCTTAAAAAACAGTTTGACTCCTAATTGTTTATGTATCTTATAGACGACGAAGTCTTTGTAATTTTAAAAGTATATTGTATACTGGTTCATTTTTTATCAAAGATAAAGTAAGTCACATGCTTTGAAAGCACTTTTTTTTACCGTCACTATGATGTGTATATGACTAAAATGGAATGTCTAGGGAATATATTTTACATTTATATTTACACGTATGTACTATATCGGGAACCAATAGTATAAAAGGGATGAATGCATATAACTTTAATGGACATAATAATAGTATCTGGCATGAACAGTCAGTTTCTCCTAATAGGCCAACTATAGAGCCATTTCATCTACACTACATCTATACTACAATATGTACATATGAAGCTATATTTAACAAAAGAAAACGGCAATAATATATAGTGGCAGCGGATGTCAGAAACTATATAAATGCAGGGAACGCATTTCTCTCTGCATACATTATGCGGAATATACTTGAAACATAAGCTACTGACTCGTATAGGGAATGTTAACCTTGCAAGTCATGAGTTTTAGATTAAGTTATTTACAAGGCTCAGGATAAGGTAGAAATAGTATATTTTTTTTATGAGTTTCTACTGACTTGCTCAAAAAGGTTGGATTTTCTTTTCTCGACCGCTAAACTTTATCGTTCAAACGGTCAATCAAGTCTAGTTTTTATACAAGTTTTTTTACATTAATCTTAAAATACCTCGGTAATTTTTCAACTTAATTTATTTTTTTGTACAAACAACTCTTAGAACACCATCATTAGATGAGAATTGTTTGGGTAACTTTGTTAAAATAACAGAAATTTCATATATATATATAAAAACATATTACAAAAGATTTGCAGTTGTAATTTAGCATTCGCTAAATTTCTATCAAAACAAAAAATTTTCTGTAACTATCTGTACATAAATTATGCGTCTTTACTCTATATAATGTTAAAAATATAGATAGAACAAGTAAAATCTTAAGCGCTTCTGTATTATAACGCGCATAATACAAACATGTGGTAATGATAAAAAGTCTTTGTGGTACGTATTTATAAATAAATAAATGCACTAAAACCTTATTAACTAACTAGTGTAGTACATTGACTTTATAAAAATTAACAGTTCTACTTTTACCCGCAATTTTAATTAATACAGACATCCACTTAGTTATTCATTAGAATATGATTTAAATATTTCCACAAAAACTCTAGATTATAAATAATAATAATAATAAATAATAATGCTCAGTGAGTAAAAAGTTTAAATGTTGAAATAATTTTTAATTACGCTTATTCAATTAAAACTTTTAAATTTATTTTCTTTGTATAATAAAAATAAAACTTTGTGTTATATGTACATATTTATATATACTTTTAAGGATTTTTTTCTAGATAAATTATGATTTTTATTTAGCTATAATTAATTTTGTAACTCAAAAGTACATAAAATCCTAAAGTTTTCCAAGGTAACTCATTTATGATATTTAATTCAATTTTATTAAGTTAAAACATTGTAAAAACAATTTTGCTTTTATAATATTTAAGTTTAAATGAAATTATCAATGCAGAGAATAAAAGAATAGTTACTAAGATAATTTATTAATTATATACATTATTTTTAATAATTTAATTTCAACTTGATCATTAAAAATTATCGAGTTATTAAATTATAACAATGTATAGTTTAAGGAAAAAATATTTTGACACTCATAAAAATCTAACAAGGACACGATATTTGTATTAAAAAATATAAATAGTAAAAAATTAATTTAAATAAAATAGAAATATTCGTTGTATTTGTTTGAAGCTCTATAGATATTAGCTAAGAAAAAGATTAGTTTATAATTTAGCATTTGCAAATGAAATGTTTGAAAAAACTGGCACTATCTCAAAAACTTTTTTGTTTTGTTTTTACGGACCAACCTTCTTGTGGTTAACGTTAAAACGGTTTTTAGATAGTTTTCCTTTTTTCGTTATCCAAGGTAAAATTAACTGGAAAGCAATAACGTAATACACTGTAAAATAAACTGACTTACGTTTTGTCATCTATATGCTTAGTGACTCTAAAAATTTAAGGTTAAAAGTTTTTCTTAAAAAGTGTATATAAATAATACTCCCTAAACTTTTTTGTTGTTACCGAAATCGCCTGTTGCATTTATATTATGTGCTTATACAACGGGATGTTGTAAATCTCGAACAAAGACCTTTAAAAAAATAACTTTTCTTTTAATGAATCTTTTTTTTTTGTACGTTTATTTAAGTGCCATAATTTATTACAACTAAACATACAGAATAACAATAAACATTAAGCTAAAAACTATTGAATAATAAAGAAAAATGTTTATAATTTTTTATATAAACTGATAAAATGGCTAACAAACCAACGTATAGTAATTAAGATAGCAAAATCTTCCACTAGAATAATGATTCAAGGCCCTAATAAGATAATCTAAGAATGAAAATAAACTAATAAATTTACAAATAAGTTTCTTTTTGTTCAAAATTTTAGTATTAAGGAAAAAAAATATATAAATTGCTCGGGAAAAAAAGTTTAATTAAAATGTTGTACCATGACACAAACTTAATAATTAATAAATTAATACATAATAAAAAATTAACAAGCTCAAACCGATTCAACAATGTCCCAACTGCTATATATTTTTAAACAGTTATGTTAATACATAATTAATGTAGTATTTGTAAACTTTAAAGGTAAATATGTATAAAAGGTTAAAAATTATTAATTACTTACAAGCTTATAAATGCTAGGAAATGAAATATATGGAATGTACTGGCCTTTTATATTCCTCCGCATTTCGCCCTATTAAATTAGTTGACCTTTCAAAGAAACTACATGTATATTGTGGAGAAATTTGAATATTTTTACATGATTAAAATTACTAGATGGGTCATATGTTTTTATAATCTAATCAAGACAGTAATCTTACAATCTTTGGTTTTTAAATAAAAATTAACCAGCAAATTAAAAAAAGTTATAAGGATATAGTAAAATATCAATCTATTTCATTGGTATTAATTAAAATAGAACGTAAATTGGTATAATTCATTAATTTAATTATTATTCATAAAAATAAAAGAAATTTAAAACGCTTTTTAAATCAATTTACCATAATATATTACTAAAATATCATTCATTATTGTAATCGAATAAGAAACTACTTTAAAACTGTTATAACTGAATGTATTTATTCGTCCATATCTTTATAAGCTTATGTATGTTATAGTTTAGAACGCTATAATAGTTGAACAAGTTGATTAAAATTAATCAAAGATAAAAAAAATTAAACGTAGATCAATTGTCATTAATTATCTTGTTTTTATCCCAACTACTTAGGATCGGCTACACTTATCCTAAACTTCCACTTGACATGATCACC